AATACTTTAATTTTAAAAAATCATTACTCAATAACTATTAGGCCGATTTCCTTCAAATAAAGACCATTCTAAAGGGCCCTGTGAAATTATTATTTTAGCTCTATGCAACAAATTTCGTGAGTGTATGTAAATAAAAATAAAAAATTTGCTTGCAGTTTATTATGTGCCACTACAAAACGTTATTTTTTTGTAAAATTAATCACCATTTCAATTAACCATGATGGAGTTTCTGCCTTTGATCTGAAATTATTTCATTTCAGACGGTGTAGGTAAGTAATATGATGAAATAATGAATGAATCAAATGTGAATTTTTTACATTTTTTATTATTTGCAGAAAAAAATGGGCTAACAAAAACGCATGTTTGGAAGTTTGCAAGATATTTGACACTTTCTTTGAATTGTAACTGCAATTATTTTGTTGCATTTTTTAGTAACGTGAGAGTTTTTAGAATGCTAAATAAGTGTTGCAGCTTGGATCGCTTCTCTAGTAAGAAATAAGTACAACATACCTAATGAAATATTTCAGGCCAAGATTTGAAGAAACTTTGGCGCATTTATAGAAACAAACTTTCTGGTTCAGAAACTTTTACACATTTTTTTTGAATTTCCTAACTTCTTTGTCTTTTTAAAACTAACCCTTTTATCACTTGGCACTTTTTAATTTAAAAACTATTAGATTAGATAACGGTATTTAGTTAAATGTAGGAAAATAAAGAAATAGTTTATAGACTTTTACTTACGTATTTAAGAATATGATACCAATCTAATAGTTATTTATTCGACGACTTGAGTGTAAATCGGACGGATTATTTCACCGGGTGCGTTATTAAACCACGAGTGTACCGAGTGGTTTATCATCCACGAGGTGGAATAAAGCGTCCGATTTACACTCAAACGAGTTGAATACAACATTTTATTCTTCGAATTAGACTTAATAAGGCTTAAACTTGCTTTAAATCTGTTAAAAATAATCTGACGTTTCATATTGAGAAATGCCAAACAATTGTCAAAACTTCCTTACACAGGAGAAAAACCGTAAATTTTGACAGTGTCGAAGAATAAAGAAAAATAATGTGCGTTTTTTGTGTTTCAACAAAGTGGCAGGGGCGGATGGGCCCATCGGGATACTGAGAAATTTCCCCGTGGGCCGTCGCTCTGTGGGACGTCCCCGGTCCCTCAATTTACTAATTATGTAATTTAATTTAATTATTATTAAGATATTTTTTAAATACACTTTCGAAGAAAAAATAGTTTTAGAAAAACCCCTATTAAACTAAATCTAAACCTACTCAGTGACCTAGGCAGAATAATGAGGCATTTTGGACATCGAACCTCGCTATATCATTCGAGCTTTTAAAAGTTTTGTGTAAAACTTTTAAGTTTAATTATAGGCATGTACAATCGCAAGCATAAAATTTTGATAGGTAATGTCATTTTGAAACTTCAGTACACAGTTTCCCTGTGTAATTTTGATAAGAGGGTATATTAGGGAATGACATTGACTACTAAAATTTAATGCTCACCATTGTACTTACGTATACTAACACTTATATTTTTATATTTAGGTAGTTGTAATTTGTTTGATTTTACCCGAACATAGGGATTTAACATGGTATTTTTAATTTTTTCTAATTCCTGCTCGCCAATGCAACGTACAAGTAAGGTAGGTACAACAAGCAAAAACAACTCTTGCTGTTAAAGTGTTACTTTATCTACTCAAAAGAGTTTTTAAAGAAATAGTTTAACATCTGCTATAGAAAAAAAAGTATTTCCTTTGCTGTTTTGGCTTAAAATCAAAGGTAAAAATTTGTTTCTTTTTGACTGGCTATTATAAAATGTCTTATTAAGTTCAGAATTTTGATTATAAAGAAATAACTTGATAGAAATTGGTAAAATTTACAGTTTATTTAAAAATTCTGGCATTTAAAACTAGTCCTACAATCGTGACTTTTGAAAGCTTTAGGTAAAGAACCTTAAAAGTCAAGTCAAGCTAAAAATGTTTTTCCTTTGCAGTTTTGGCGTAAAATCAAAGGCACAAATTTTTTTCCTCTTGTAAACTTCGGAGACATACTGTAAATTTGCAAAATATATTTCTTAAATAAATTTATGTATTTGTAATTTGATAATTTGAGCAAGCATGTTTATTATAATCACAATTTAATGTATACGTTATAATCTATGCTCATTCAAGTAATTTTCACAAAAAGACATTTTTCGGGTCCAGACCAACTTTCAAATAAGGGTTTTACGACATATTACCTGCTCTCCAACTAGTTAGTCTGAAACGCTATTGCGACAAAGCGCAGCCCGAGTACAAAGTTAGACTGGGGAATAGTTTTTTTCCCCGGGTGTACCTACCGAAAGATAAAATTATTGCGCCTCAAATGACTCCGAAAATAAGAATAATAATGGTATTTTTACTTTAAAATGCAATTTTTAAATTTCTTCATACATAAAATAAGTATGCGGTATAGAACGATACTTATCAAAAACGTTAAATTTATTTAGAGTTAAATTAATATAAAAATTAATAATTACTCTAATGAAGAAAGGGTTTTCATAGTGAAAAACGTTTTATAGTGTGGTGTTAGTTTGCGGAGAGTTAGAGATTTGTTTTTTATTAAGTATACTACACGACCAATACCTTCTACAAGTACAATTCAAAATTACATACATAAATATGAAAAATCTGCAAATATTTCTACAGAATCTAGTTCTAGAGGTGATATGCAGTAACATGTTTTGCTATTAAATGAAACAAAATAATCAAAAAGGTTTTTGTAGGAAATAGACAAATAGGAGGAAAATGTTTTGGGGTATCCCACACACAGTTTGAGACAAATATCTCTTGAAGTAGGTTTATCCAATTCGCGGATATGGGAGATCCTTAAGAAGCACAAATATCATCTTTTAAAATTGCAATGTCACCAAGACATTTTTGCTGTTGATGAAGAAAGTACGAGTAGAAGTGAATTTTGTTAAGAAAACCCTTTCTTCATTAGAGTAATTTTTATGTTAATTTAACTCTAAATAAATTTGTAATCTAAAACTAAAAACGCTTTCATTTAAAGGGTTGCATCCATTCCCCCACCTCATTCGTAAAAAATAAGCTACACTTGAGTGCAAAAAACGCAAATTGTCTAAAACAAAATTGTCAATTTTTTCAGAGATTTACATAGTGTGAAAAACGTTGTTTCCAAAAAGGTTAGAAAACTATCAAAAGAAACATCGTATTCGGTGGTCTTGCCAGTGCAGGTCATAGTCAGTGTTAAAAACGAAATAGATAGATGATAGATGTTTATAAGATGCCGGACAAATTATGAAGTTGTGAATTGTGACAAAGACAACGTCAAAAAACTGGCATTTATTGACAGGCAAAATAACATATAAAAAAACCATTTGCGTTTTTCAAGTGTACATTAATTATAATTTGGGCCGTCTGCTCAATTTTTCCCGGTCCGATTTACCTATGCCCATCCGCAAAGTGGTATAACTTTTAAATAACTTTACTACATTTTCCGGCTGTTACTGTTGTGATAGTAAAAAATATTGTGTTTGATTTAAATAAATGCTGAATAATTCAGCTGGTTTCCCATAAACATCAATAGTTAAACAACTTTTATTATACATAGCGTTTAAAGAGATAAAGTTTATGTATTCATCCCCAAATGGCTTTTTTATGACTTTGCTTTTTAAAGAGACATTAGTTAAGAAATATATTTATCTGTCAAAGCAAACATTTGCAAAACTATACTAAAATACAAATTGAATTATTCATTAAACCCTCTTAGACAAAACACTGCCCACTCAACCCCTTTCTGATCCAAATTACGTTCACGTAAACCATCACCGATTATCGATAAAAAGTCAAACAGAAGTGACCTTTTTACTGTGATGTTTATTTCATTGACACAAATACAGTTTTAACTAGAAATTTATTAGGCGAAAAAATTATTCGTCGAAAACTCAGAATCGAATTTGCGACCCCACAAAAGCTGTAGGTTGTATCTTCAACGATTGTTTAATCCACCGCCTCCTTAATCAAATGTATCAATATCCCGCCTGGGCATTTCGTAAAAAATGCATTGGAGCAGTGATTCCGATTTTTTCTTAGTTACGGGGGTTACTAAGGAAAAACTGAATATTTTCTAATTATTAACGAAAAATAACGCAATTAATAAATGCTGGGAAGGAAGGATACAACAAAACTAGATACGCCACGGAGAATTAATATTATGAGGTTGAACCCTTTAAGCTAGAAAACTGGATTTGTCAAAAATTTTCCTCAGATTAAAGCGCCAACGGGAATCACTTGAACTCAAAAAATGCCCAGGCGAGAAAAGGATTATTTCTATGGAGACGGCGATGGTTTAATCAGACTGGGGATAAAGCTGATAAAAATATTAAATATTTTACTTTTATAATTACCTATGCAAGGTAAGAATATCACGCTCGTGTGCAGTAAAAAACTCCGTCACATATGGATAACGATTGAAATTATTTACAATTAAATGTTCTGTGAGAGGAAACCAAATTCTCGATATTACGGGCATCCAATTAAATTAAATGCGCTTCCACAAGCATTCATTTTAAACTCGTAAATTCAAATTTACGTCTAAATGAATCACTTATATTTACTGCATCTTGAGTAAATTGAAGCTTTATACATATCAATTATGGCAAGGTAAAAACTCGTTTGGTAATAAATCTAAGGAAAAATTGGGCAAATACAGCATTAATGAATTTAATTACAATCCATTTATCTTTGTTTAGGATTACAATCTACTACAAAACACAAGTCAAAGTTTGAACGGGTAATTGGTATGGGTTTTTCGTCGTTTTATTAGCAAAGTTTGCTTCAATTTTCTGAGACGATGATAAATTTGGCGCAATTAGTATTCATTAGTCGCTTAAGGGTTGATAAATCACCCTTATACACAGATTTTGTGGACCACACATGAAGGAGGTTTTTATATTAATAATAACAAATTGTTCTTACCTTCGCTCAAAGCGACGCCAAAAATCAACCAACACCACAATTTGTGCATTGTTACAAAGTTTCAAAACACAGATTTTACATCATTATTTCAGGAGGTACAAATAATTTACATGTTTTTATTCACATTGTTTTCCTTTTTCAAAAGTAATATGTGTCCAAAAATGTAAAAATTTTATTCTTTGTCCGGAAAATTTTATCGGGACCGCACGCTATTTTACGCCGACGAGAGGAAATAATGTTTGGAAAGCACACTTCCGGTTCAGGCGACGGCTGTACAGCATCTGATTTTGCCGTGATCTGTGATGTAGCCAGACGCCGGCGACGGCAGTGGAAGGGAAGAACCAGACGCCTGAAAAACTACGCTCGCGCCAAATATGAATTTAATTTACTTATTTGCACATAAATAAAATTCTAAAATTTTCATGAAAAACCCAAGGTGTGTGTGTACTCTGGAAGTTAAATGTAATAATAATTTTTTGTTATAATTTACATTACTTTTAAACCGTTCATTCAGATTAAATTACATAAAGGTGTTACTTTTTTTACTTTAAAAATCAACCTTTTATTGGTTATTATCACTATAAATTTCACTTTTCCTATTTTCTGATAATTTTACAGTAGCATTTTTCATCTTTTTGTAATCTATCTTCTATCTTCTTCTTCTATCTATATACAGGGTATTTGAGGATTGCGAGCAAATATTTTAACTACTAATAGGATAAAAGAAACAACTTTCGTTATTCCAACTTGTGTCGAAAGCACATCATTTCTGAGTTAAAATTAAAAATAAATTGAGGCTGAAAACCCGTCCCCGCCTATGTCGTAATACGATGTTTACAATCATTCATAAAAAAAACTTTGGAACCTAAACAGCGTAAAGACAAAAAAATTATCGCTACATTAGAGTAGATCAGTGTCAATGTTAGTAGGTCAATACTTACTCTTATAAAAAATTGCTTGAAATGTGGTCATTTGTTGGCAATGCACACTTCTTGTACTCTTCGGGCTAGGGAAACTTGCGTTCGCACACACATCCCTTCGAAGGTATAAATTTGAGCTGCGTACACTAATTCACTAATTGTTTCATGTGAACCCCCAAAAAAACACACGTATTAAAATCTAGTGACCGCGGTGGTCATTGGCGACCAATCCATCTCCAGGGAAAATGATTGTTCAATCCATTGGTGACGACTTTGGCATAATCTGATGGAGTTCCACTTGTAAATAACGCATGTGTCGACAAGGGCACATTCTCCACCAAATCGGACAACACATTTTCCAAAAAATCCAGATAAACGGCACTAGTTAAACGTTGAAGTAATAAGTGGGGCCCAATTTGGTGATCTTCAATGATCGCTGCCCAAACATTTAGTAAAAATTGGTCTTGGAAGTGTGACGTCCGTACACTAGTTAATTTGGCGTTTGAGTAGTTGGCCATAATGACTTGATTGACAATTTGATTTCAAATCGATGTGCACAATTCACCCGAAAGCGCATAACGACTAACTAAACTGACACGTGAAAACAAGTGTTAATTTTTTTGGACAAAAAGTTTCCTTTTTTCTGTATAAAAACTTTCACGGTCAACATTCAATGCAATTTATTTTCATTGATATTTTTACTTCCAACTAAACAAGGACAGACACACTGAACGGCTCGTGAAAATCATAGGGGGGAAACTGCAAAAATCAAATTTGAATACGGAATTTGTTTGGTCTTCAAATCGACTTTTCATAACAAATTCTCTTAGTGGTTAAAATATTTGCTCGCAATCCACAAACACCCTGTATATAAAAGAGTTCCGTGACTGACTGACAGACAACGCACAGCCTAAACCACGGAAGCTAGAAATATGAAATATGGCAGATATGTTCCTTAGAAGGTGTAGAGGTCCGCTAAAAAAGGGTTTAAAAAAACAATCTCTAAGGGAGTGAAATGGGTTGTAAACTTTTAAACAAAGATAGAAACAAAAAAATTGGAAGATATGTTACTTAGCGGTTGTAAAGGTGCACTATGACGAGATTTTTAAAAAATAAATACCAAAAACATATTTACTCCCTTAGAAAAGGGGGTGAAATGGGGTGTATACGTTTAAACAAAAATAGAAACATGAAATTTTGCAGATATGGTCCTTAAATGGTGTACAGATGCGCTAAGAAAGGAGTGTAAACGAAGATAGAAACAAAAAAATTGAGGATATATTCCTTAGCAGTAATAAAAGTGCACTTGGACGGTTTTTTAAAAATAATAAGTAAAAGCTTATTCACTTCCTTAAAAAAGAGAGAGAAACTGGATGTAGACATTTAAACGAAAATAAAATCATGAAATTTGAAAGATATGTTCCTTAGAGCATGTAGGGGGTGAAATTGGGTGTAAACCTTTAAACGGTGATAAAAACATCAACTTTGGGAAACATATTCCTTAGAGAGTGTAGAGATCCACCAAGAAAGGATTTTTTGAAAATATACTCGTATTTATAAGAGGGTGAAATGGGTTGCCAACAATTAAACGAAGATAGAAACATAAAATTTGAAGGTTATGTTCTTTAGCGGTTGTAAAGTGGTACTAAGACTAGATTTTTAAAAATCAGTTTCTAAGGAGGTGAAATAGGATGTACACGTTTAATCGAAAATAAAACATGAAATTTGGAAAATAGATAGAGATGAAGAATGAAGAAGTGCACTACTCAAGCACTTCTCGAAAACCAACCTATAATACGGGCTATTAGACGTGACGTCACAGACGCGAGTGTACTGTACTGTACAGTAAATAAAGTCTGGGCAATAGGCCAAAATCGTGAACTTGTCAAAATAGTAAATTCCGGTAGATGACGCGCGCGTTGCGCGTTAAGGAAACTGTAATTTGTGAAATTTGAAAATTTGGAGGAAATTAAATGTCACAAATGCACATTTAATAAAATATTGATCTATCACACAACTAATACATTTTTTCAGCTTAAGAAGCGCAGTATCAAATATCTTTCAGACGTTATATTATAATTTTGAAAATGCCAACTTGCTGTGTTCCAAACTGTGCTGGTGTTATTTTACATCAATTTCCAAAAAGTAGAAATCAAAAAAACGAATGGCTTAAGAGAATATTTGGTACCATCGACAATATACCCCCAAATTCCATGATTTGTGGAAAACACTTTGGAATAACGAGCTATTATAAAAACAAAAAATTGTTAACAAATGCAGTTTCATCCTTGCTCTTGAATTATAAAAGAATTACTCGTTTTCAGGTAATTTCTACCACTTCCATTAATTCAGAACGTAAGCCGTTAGAAACGCCTGCACCGTGTCTCCAATCTCCAGACTCATTTGACAAAAATTGTACGATTTCAAATCCATTTCGATTTGATTTTGATCAACAAAGCGATTTAAAAGTAGGTGATATTCATAATTTTTATTTAAAAAATGTTTCAGATGCAATAGGTTCTGCAGAAAAAATTGTCTTACTAGATAAACTTCAAAATTTAGAAAAAAAGTTACAGGAAGCAAATGTAAGATTTCAAAAGTTGAATAAGCTGTATGAAAATAAACTTGAAAAACTAAAGAGAATGCAGGAAAAAATTGACAATTACAGTAAAGGTCAACATTGTGTAGTGAAAATTGAGTCAGATGCAAAGGACTTAGAACCAAGGGCTGTGTTTTTTCTTGATCAAATTTATAATTATTCTCTAAAAAAGCCAAGATGGTCTGAAGTTACAGTACGTCATTATATTGCCTGGAGGTACATTTCTTCAAAAGGTTACGAATTTGCGAGAAGAAGTCAGTTTTTAAAAGCTCCATCCAGAAGAACTTTAGTCAGATATATGGGAAATTCCCAAGGGGATCCAGGCTTGACTAATTTAATTAAAAACAAAATAACTGCTGAAGGCAATAATTTAAAAGACGTTGAGAAAATATGTTCCCTTATTGTAGATGACATGGCCATTAAAGAAAAAATGGAGTATAGTCGAACAGAAGATACATTTTACGGCATTGCAAATACTGAGAACGAAATAATAGGAAAAAAGCCCATTTTAGCCAATAAACTGTTGTGCTTCGTTATTCATGGATTGTCTACCAAATACACTATTCCCGTTGGATACTTTTTTCATAAAACACTTTCGACTGAACAGTTTTTTTAATATGAGCATAAATGTAATAAAACAGATACATGAATGTGGCTTCAAAATCTTGAGATTGGTAAGTGACAATCATAAATCAAATGTTGCACTTTTTAAAATGTTAGGACAAACAGAGCTGAAAACCAAGGTCCAAATAGAAAAATAATAGAAAACATAATTTATCCTAGTGTTTTTTATTCAAAGTTTTGAAGAAATAATAAAGAGTTATTGAAAAATGTTAATGCTCTTGTAGATATGTAAAGAATAAAAATAACTATCTAACCCAAATGTAAATCTTTATTTTTTAAATAAATAAAATTATATTTGCGTATAAAATGTTTTAATTTTTGATGTTTTTGGTCTAGTTCTTAGAAAAAATTACAATCAACAAAAAATTATTATACAACCCATAAAAGACAAAAGTAAATTTTTGTATATCAAGGTTTCAAACCAAAATATACAGATTCCATTGGAGTGCGGACTCGTCGCTCCCCCAACGGCCATTTTTTGACATTGCCCAGACTTTTATTACTGTCAATCAACGCAGACGACGGTTAAACAGTAATCGTATTTTTACAAATTTCTATCAGTCAAAATGACTTTACTCCGGTTTTAGGAAGTCCGTCTATTTGGATATCGCGCTGGATAGAAACGTGCAGTCTGCGTTTTTCAAACATTCTTCATAAATGAGAATCTTGTTGGTCTTTTCGGCAACATTTTAGTAAATCTCACCAAATTCTCCAAGGTTTGACATTTTATAAGTTAAAGTTGAAGTGCTGTTTGGTCACTATGTTTAATTTATTAAAACTAAATATTTTAATATCCACGTTATCTTCAAATGTAATGTAGGTTGCTTCAAAATTTTTTTCAGGTTCATTATTACTCGTGGGACATCTGTAGATGAAATTTAGAATTTTGATTTTTGAGGGTGTAGAAGTGCACTTTAAAAATTCAACGAGGTGAAATGGGCGATGACAACCATATATATAATACATATTATATATATGATGACAACGTACATTCGTCATTTTCTTAAGAATTGGCTTTCTGCTTCTGCAGAAAATGTATAAACAGACTAACTTCACATTTCTTCTGTGAAAAACAACAAAAGTTTATATCTAAAATCTGCGTGGAAGAAGTCACGGGTACAAGCTAGTTTGATGTATAAAAAATTGTTTTTGAATTAAAAAATAGGAGTAGTATGAGTTGCAGAAAGCAGAATTTAAAATCCGAAAAAAGCCGCGCAGCGGCGAGTTGAGGAACATACGATTGCTTGAATGACTTTCAACGAGTGATTTATCCATTTTTTTTTCTATTTTGGGTTTTTTCCTTGTTTATAAATAATAAAAGAAAACATTATAAATCAAGGGATTTTTGCGTCGCTGTAGCAGTGTTATTTATGAAGACGTTGGAAACTTCAACTCAACATTTATTTGAGCCTTTATTGTGCGTCCAAAAATTCGGGAAATTGGTAAGTTTATTGAAAGCAATTTACTTTCAACATTAAAAACTAAAAATATACTACGCTTAATTGTACATACATTAAAGTACAAGTTTTATAAATTCGCAGTCAATTCATAGAGGCCATTTAATTTATTGCAAAGTTGGCAGCCCCTAGCCCGCCACCTTTAGTGTGTGGGTTGTGTCAATGTTGAGAGCAGATATAACTAAATTGTGTCAACAATTGTGACAGGCACAGTAGATTGGATTCTATTTATTCTAACCCGATTTTTTCAAAATTATCATTTTGATAGATATGTCCCTAAAAAACAATTGGATGTTTAAAGTCGGATTTACACAACTCAGTTTTTACAAAATCTACACAGGGAAATGGCTACTATGAATTGATCGAGACTTTAAGGGTTGATTTGGCGCACGAATCCCAAGTTAGAAAACGAACCGTAGGCGAGTTTTCTATGGGATGAGTGCGCCAATGCCATTATAAAACGAGTATTTTATGCTCTTTTTTCTAATTTGCGCCCCCTTTTTCTTATTTTAATTAAAAAAAAATATTTTTTTGTCGTCTAGAGAATTTTGTGTTAGTTGGTATCGGTTGATCACACTCGGCGCCTACCTGATTTTTTGAATCATTTCTGCCGTCATTAAAAAAAAATACAAATTATTAGTTATTACGTTATTAGCGTTACAACATAATAATAATAAATAAAATATGATCCAACAGAATTTAGTTTGCACTCCGTCCGAAATTCGCGAAATTGCCGAATCAACAACGCAAAATTTGTTACCTGACAAGTCAGAAGCGCTATACAAAAACTAAATAACGCTAAATTCATTAAAGAACAGTGTGCTTTTATAGATAGACATAAACGACTCCTACTGAGATAAACGTATTATAAACGCAAATGAGAAAAAAATTGTTAAAGCACCCAAACGAGTGCGTTAAGAGCGTTTAGTCTATAATAGAATCGAAACAGAAAAAAATAAATATTGTACTGAACTGTAGCTTTTAAAAACACAAATTTTATCAGAAGTGTCTGTTTATTTTGGAAAATAAAGTTTTGGTTACTTTTGCTTGTAAAAAGTTTTTATATTTATTTTACTTTATGAATTCAAAAATGCGGATTTCTTGATCTATGAGTTTCACGTATTTACAAATTCACGAGTTTTGGACATAAATTCACGGCATAAATTTGAGGTTATAAATAACGATAGAGGTTAGGTTTATGAGAACGTGTTTAAATCTTGGAGTTTAAATTCACGAAAACACAATAAAAATGGGAAAATCACAACATTCCGAAAGTGAGGAAGAAAATTATAGTGATTATGGAGAAGATATGCTGGAAATGGTTGAAGAGGAAGACTTGGTTTTCCTCAAAAATGCGATAACTTCTAAATCATACAACATTTTTAATAAAGTCAAGTATTCAGAGTAAGATTATTACAAAATTTAAAATAATTCAGTTTCAATGTACGATTTTTTAAGAGCCAGTGCTCCTAAACCAAAAAGGCGCCGATTAAATGATGAAGAATCGGATTTGGAAAAAGAATTTGAAGAGCAAACTGTTGAAGATGTTCCTATGAAAAATCTTTTGCCCATAAAAACTAAATTTGGAATTGTACCACAACAAATCAAGGACGAGTCCGGTTTGTTTAGCTTGTTGGTGAAGATAAATGTTTATTTTTTATATTTTAGGTGAAAAATCTGAAGATGAGGTTGAAGTTGAGGAAGACACGGAAGAGCAATTTGATCTTGTTGAGAATAAGCTTGATGTTTCAAAACCAATTCCTGCAACACACTTATTAGCTGAACGACAGAAAGTTTTGAGAGAGAAAAAAATTCATATAGGAACATTGAGTGCTGGTGTATTAGAAAACCCCGAGGAAAAAGTGACGAATTTAAGAACTTTATTGAAATTAATGGATGAAGAAAGCTGCGAAGTGTTTTTTACAGTCAGAAAATTGGCCACTGTGTCACTTTTAGAAGTATTTAAAGACGTTTTACCTTCATATGAAATTAAAAAAATTAATAGTGATGGAGTGAAATGTTAGAATTTTTAATGAGTAGTTATATGTTTAATTAATTATTAAATTTTAGTGAAAAAGGACACTTTGAAATTGCAAAAGTATGAAGAAAGTTTGGTACAATATTACAAAAAGTTTTTACAAAAACTTGAAAAGAACTCTTCAGTTTTACTTAAGAAAAAGGGTGACACAAGAACATTTCACGAAGTAACTTATTTTTTGCTATAAGTACGTTATAACCAAATAACACTTGAATTATTCGTAGGAGGAAATTAAATTGGCTGAGTTAGCAGTGCAAGCATTATGTGACTTATTAGTTGCACATCCTTATTTTAACTACGCTCAAAATATAGCACAAGCTGTTGTACCCTTTTTGAACAACCCGAGAAGTAATATAAGGGAAATTGCAAAAGTTGCAATCAAAACCGTTTTCAAAGAGGATAAAAGAGAAGAAATTACATTAAAAGTAAAGCTTACAAAAAATGATACAATTTAATAATATTATATTTTAGATTTTGAGAATAATCAATGCATATTTGAAAAATCGTGCTCACAATGTACATCCTGATATGTTGGAAACATTTCTTGTGCTTAATTTACGAGATGTGAATTTGGATGAGGAAAAGGAACAAGATATTAAGCAGAAAAAATTGATGGCACGAAAACAGAAAGTCCTACAAATGTCCAAAAAAGAACGTAAAAGAAAGAAAAAGCTTCAAATGTTGGAACAGGAATTGTTAGAAACAAAAGCTGAGGAAAACAGACAAGCAAAACAACGTAATTTGACAGAAATCACAAAAATAGTTTTTGGGGTTTATTTCAGAATTTTGAAAAGTTCCACCAACAATAAAGTCCTAGGAGTTTGTCTAGAGGGTCTTGCAAAGTATTTTTTTCACTTGATGAAAACTAAGTAATGACCTCCATTTTCAGATTTTCTCATTGCATAAATATCGAGTTTTATTTAGATCTTGTAAACATATTGGACAATTTGCTGAAAGAGGAGTGGATAGGCTATAGGGAGCAATTACATTGTGTCCAAACAGTTTTTTCAATTTTAAGTGGACAAGGGGAAGCTATAAATGTTGACCCCACGCGCTTTTATACCAATTTGTATAAAGGTCTCCTCACAACAAACGCCTCGAAAAGCCACCCAAATTTTCTTATTCTCTTGAAAACACTAAATGATGCTTTAATTAAAAGGCGCAAAAAGATAACAAACAAAAGGACGCTTAGTTTCGTGAAACGCTTGGCTACTCTTAGTTTACAGTTGTTACACAATGGCAGTTTAGGCAGTTTGGGCCTTATTAAAAACACAATGCAACTTAACAGATCAGTGGACATCCTCTTAGACTTGGATAATTCATTTGGAGACGGCAAATATCAACCAGAACTGGAAGACCCTGAATATGCTAACGCGTCTAGTACTGGTTTGTACGAATTAAATTTATTGGCGAAACACTATCATCCTGTTGTTAGCAAATATGCTAAGAATGTAGCATTTGGGGTTCCCGCCACGGGAGAAGGAAGTCTTGACCCTGAATATGCGAAATGGTGGGTTGTATTTACATAAGTGAAATTATTAAGGTTACTGTTACAGCACTCCTGAGCAACTGTACCACGATTTTGATATGTCTGAAATGGCATTCAACCCCCCTGTACCTATACCCAAAAAAGCTGCCCCTAAAGATAAACATCAAAAGCACTTATTTGCCGATACGACGTTCGAGAATCATTGTAAAAGTGTAGTTAGGGCTCATTTGAAACGAAAAGGAACTTTATTGTAAAATAAATATTTAATTTTTAAATTTAGTTTTTTTAAATGTTAGGGTGGGGTTTCGCCGTCAGGTGGCGCCACACGAATGACGTTTTCTAATAACAAATAATGACAGAAGAAACGTGAAACGTCAGTGTCATTCTTATTAGGATCTTTGTCAATAAATTAAAAATATCATGTAATAATAACTTAATTTTACTTTGTCCTTTATTATTTTTGAGTGTGAAAGAGTATTTTTCGGTGGAGAAGGTTTAGTGCTGGTTTTGGTTGAAAAAAGGTAATTTTTCCATCAATCCATCCAATATTTTTGACAAAAGTGATGTTTAATTATAAGGTAAATTGGCAAAAATTGTTTAAAAACAAGTGACTACATTTAAAGAAATAAGCTTCAAGGAAAAATTGAACCTAACCTAATTTTATGTCATTGATCAGCGATTTTCGCGAATTTCGTCAATAATAACACACTGGATGTGGTTAAAGCGCGATTTCACACAGTTTCAGGAAGTACGTACAAAGTTTATGTAATTCGTGTTTGTTTTCCTGTTATTTCAGTCACATCAGAGCGCAATTAAAATGTTTACGTTGTTTCCCTTTAAAACCCTTTACTTTATAAAAGCACGTAGAAAAATTGGGTGATATTTGTTTTTAATTGTAACAAATTTTCCTTTTTAGTTAAAATGTACAGCTGCAGCCATTTAGCGACCGCAACGAACATTCCAATCGCAAACATCCTCAGTTCAATAGAGGTAATATTGTAATGAAATTGCATTTCATTCATTCAAGTTTCTGAATTTTTAGAGACCTGTTTGTGCCGACTGCGGTTGTACGAAACCGAACCTATGGATCTGCCTATTTGCAAACTGTTTCCAGATCTGTTGTGGGGAAAAATTCAACGATCACAGCACTATCCATAATTCAGTATGTATAAAAAAAATCAAATGACAACAATGCTAGTGCGTTATCGTCGATCATTTAACTTGACCTTGCTGTAATTCAATAACTGGCTAATCAACAAACCGTTTAATGGCTTGAAAAATGACAAGACTGATAATATTGATAAGGTGGATGTGTGTTAGTATGGCGCCCCCATAACTGTAACAATAGCCTGTGTAGGAGAATTACTAAAGCCATTTTTAAAACAAATACAGATATTATTAAAAGTTTTTAGCGGCTTTTTTAAAGAACTAGAGTTATGTGTAAGCAATTGGCGTAATAAAGATAGAGTAATATCCTTTGTGGAAGTTTTATAGATACAAAACAGTGATAATGATATGTCAGATATAGTTTTTTTATATTAAAATCAGACGATCTTTAAAAATCGAGTCCAAAATTGCAAGTGAACACTGGTAAGCAGATATTTTCGTTTTGGTGCATTTCTTAAAAGTTTAATGCAAATAAAATTGCTTTGATTATCTTCTAAAATAACAGTTGACAGTAAATGTCAAAACGCTTTTCTTCTTTTGTTTGTCATTTTATTCATAAGTCGGAAACGCGTTTTTGTTGTGCAAACTGTTATCTTCCTTACAATACTAGACAAGGTTAACTAGAAAGTAGAATATATTATTTAAGTACTGCCTTTTTACTAATTTACAAGTTTTTTATAAGTAAAAAAATATGTTTTTTTTTTATAATGATTGAAGTAGTTATTGTGTAAAAGTATATATGCTTGATGCTTGTGTGTGTGTGTGTGTGTCGACGAGTTTGAGTGTAAATCGGACGCTTTATTTCACGAGTGGAGTTTTAAACTACCAGTGTTAACGAGTGGTTTATCGTCCACGAGGTGGAATAAAGCGTCCGATTTACACTCAAACGAGTTGAATACAACATTTTATTCTTCGAATTAGACTCAACAAGGCTTAAAATTGCTTTAAATCTTTTAAAAATAATCTGACGTTCCGTATTGAGAAATGGCAAACAGGAGAAAAACCGTAAATTTTGACAGTGTCGAAGAATAAAATAATAATTAAAAAATACTGTCATTTGAAAAACACTGAAATACTATCATTATTCTTCACAGACTTATTAAAATATTTTTTGTTATTATGTTGTTACTATATGAATACAGTTGCATTTATTATCAAAATGAATTTTTTTACCAGATTTGACAGTAAAGTGTAGTTTCTCTAAAATTTTTCATGATGTGAGTAATGAGCATGGAGAGCGCTTCTATATGGACCTTTCATCAGTAGAAAAACGTTACCAGAACTAATGGAATTCTAAAAATCTGATAGAATACTGCTTGATTATTAAACGAGAAACTTAAAAAAAAATCCAAGAGAGAAGAAAAAGTTGTTTCATTGAAAGGAATGAGACCTAATTGTATCCAAATTAAAGAAAAATTCAAGGCAAGTTATAAACCTTTAATAACAAAATAATAATTATACATTAACGTATAAAACGAATTTTGTATTTTTTATAAGTAGTTTTCTTTATTGTGAGGTGGAGTAATGAAGAAGTTGCAAATTTCTTGATCATATTGTAATCTATCAATTTTTTGATATCACAATAGCTGGGAATTAGATGATTACTGAAACTAACCGGGGACTTATTACATACCCGAAAAATATTACATATCTGGAGAGTGAGTTGCATAATTCTGATGGGCCCCGCTAACATTATAACTTGACATTCCTTATATACCAACGACCATACAATATTTACAAAATTCAGAAATTAACTAAAAAGATTAAGGGTAATTTTTTGGAATTGTTTTCATTCTCATGTCCCGCTTACGTTGACATATTTATTACATCTGGATATTTATTATTCAAACATTGAAAATTGAAAGTAAATTGTTACTTTTAACATTGGTGAATGAAAGCACGAAGGAAGGCTTGATTAAAGTCTCAAGTTTTAACTAAGCACGGCTGTAATGAAGCTCATCTTTACTCAGTATGTAATATACAATTTTTTAATATAATCATTTTTTAAGCTTCTTGTTTTGATAATCTAAGCATTTGTATGGCTTTATTGGTACAACTTAACACGAAAGATGATGTCCTCGAATATATTTATTACATCTAAAGAAAATAAATAATAAACAAAATTGTATATTTTTCATATTGTACGTAAATTTAAATTGTAAAAACCTATAGTACGTATAAAGTCTATTTTTTTCTTTAAATGAAAATGCCAAACAGTCTTAACGTTGGCACCACTAGTAAATTCATTCATGGTAATTTTAATAAAGGAAGTTGGCAGTTCCGCTTTTTTGAATTAATTTGAAAACAATGTCATTAAACGTCAACACAAAAAATCGTCTAAGAAAATTTAGAGACGAAACAACAAAAATGGAACAACTTCGGTACCGCTAACAGTTTTTGGAAATTTGGAAACGAATAGTTCGCAAGCAGGAAGTTGGAAAAAGGGCCTATTAAAATGTAGACGCAATTTATAATGCGGGTTTGAGAAAACATTGAGAATGTTTAGCAAGAAATTGACAAGAATACAGAATAAACATGAATGAGAAAGAACCTCGGAAAGAATGTAATTAAATTAGTGTCTTGTGCATCGTTTTTTATGGAACGAGTTAAAAAAGTAACAATTTTGAAACTAAAGCTGAAGAATTTATAAAATGCATAAATTTTGAGCTCATTTCAATAAATTACACAAAATTTATTGCCAATCATCATAATACCTACTTGTATCTTTTACTAAATAACTTTTTTCTTTATATACATCCTTTTTCTTCAAAGTTTTTGTAGTAAGATCCTCATCTTTGTCCACAACATTGTTCTTACTATCAAAATTATTAGCACTGAATTCTGTCTTTAGACATTAGGTAATGATGTCTGTCCTCAGGTACTTCTATTATAGCACTTTCAAAGAGCAAAAAGGCATACAAGATTAAAAGTCAAAATTTTGACAAATCTCAATTTGAAAACATAACCATAATTTTTTAACAAAACTTCTAGGAACCAAAACAAAGACATTCTAAAAAAAACAGACTATACTTGTCGAATCGTAAAAATTTTCAATAAAATGTTTACATACTTAAATATTTAAGATTTCCCCCCAAATCATTATTATAAAAAGTATCTCTGAGGTAGTCGCTGTCATTACCAATGGTACTGTAAATTAACACAGTTTATGACGTATGGAAAAGTACAACTCGATTTTTATAATAAATGAATAAAGTAAAAGAAGATGGACGATATTACATCACAAGAACTTGAACAAATATGTATTAGAACTTACGCAAGTACTTTTTTATTCAATCCATTTGACGAGTAAATACAGTTTCCTAGATAAGATTTGTTTATAGAAATAAAATAAGAAAATGAGCCCAAGGTAAAAAGTGTATTTTCGACAAACGCCTTATTTTACCAAATTATGAAAATGAAAAAATTAAATGCGTAGTTTATTGTTACAATTTATGATCACAGCTATAGGAGTAAAGGTAAACAAATTAAAAACTATTTTTCAAGAATTGTAAATTACATTAAAATAAAATTCCAAATAAAAAAAGAAAAATGTTTGCTCCATTTTTTCATATCGTTGTAGGGAATTTATATTAGGGAATAGTCTGAAATTAAATACAATGTTGTAAATATCTATCTTGTGTCGAAGAAATCTTACATACTGAGAGATGAAAGATAGATAACGTTTCTGACATCTAACAACTTTTCACTAATTACTTATAAATAAAATATCATTGATTTTGTTCCGAAAGTCCACTCGATACTCGATTATATTCCTTTTTGGAAATTTTAATTATCAGTACATTATTATTAGCTTTGATTTACAACGTAAAACATGTTAAATCTAAACTATTGATAAAGTGTATTCTAATGTCCACTGAAAGTCAAATGGTGTTGTTGATAATTTGTTAAATTTTTCCACGTACTTCCCCATAATTACTACGATCACCAGGTCTAAAATCGGCATTTCTTTCAGAAAAACCCCTCACATTGTATCCATATGAATTTAGTAACGAAACGAATATGGTGTTACGAGTGCAAAGATGAAGTCTTCATGGAACAGCCATCGACGGCTGTTTCTTCGACCGTTCCGTCGTACGACAGCGATCCAGAGATGGAAGGCTGCACATACAAATCACGCGATTCGGGTCATGGCAGCTACAGTACCCTTCGTACCAACACTCCGGAACGGATGAACGTCTTTGCATTTGAAAAAACAGTCGGTCTCAACGTTGGAATGAGCGGAGACGCTTCGGATGGCAGCGACGCCGAAGACTCAACCGATTATAGCGTTGATAGACCAGTCGGTCTCGTCGGTTTGCAAAACATAGGCAACACGTGTTACATGAATGCTGCTTTGCAAGCCCTCAGCAACGCTATCCCATTGACGCGATTCTTCCTCGAATGTGCGACGACAGTACAGATTTTATCTGAAGGGAAAAAACCAGGACTGAGTAGAACTTATCAGACGCTAATCAGAGATATGTGGAAGAAGAACGGAGGATACGTTACGCCATCTGGTATTTTGTACGGAATCAGGAGTGTATATCCTATGTTTCGAGGTTACTACCAACATGACACTCAGGAATTTCTTCGGAATTTTATGGATCAATTGCATGAAGAGTTGAAACAGGTGGCCCCACCTGAGATGGCCTCGATGACTGATTCGGACACGTTTAGTCTAGCGATGGACGAACCTGCGCTCAGTTCGAGCTATGATTCGAGCGAAGGGGAATATGAAACTTGCGACTCGGGGGTTAGCGAGAGGTCGAGTCTCAGCGATGATACGGAAAGACCTGCCAGTAGTACGAAAAGAAGGCTTAGCAGATCCTCGAGTCCGGGAAGGAGGATACGGACGAGGCTGCAAAGCAACACCATGGTGATAGGTAGGTCTACATTTCGACTCTCCCAACGAAAACTATACTAACTCAAAAATTACAGTTTTGAGAAAAATTGCATTGAATCTTTGAGTGTTAATAAAAAATCAAGAAATTGTTTAATATTATTGAAAATTGCTAAGGGTCTAAATTTTGGTAATAATATTCGTTTATTATAGAAATTTTGTCTCATTGTTTTTGTATTTTGGGCCCTACATAAGCCATCGTACTCAAAAACCAATTTTTATAAGTGACTATAGTTTTCGTTGGGAGAGTCGATTTTATAAAAATGTCAAAAACACTATAATAACAATTAACAAATTATCAAAACCGTTCGACTAGTAAATTGCCAAATCATGTAGCGTAAATTCAAAGTATTTCTTTGTAGATTACAGTTGGTGACAAAATACTTTGGTCGTCACTTTTCTGACACTTTAATGTAATTCAAGCTTTAACGTTAAAATGAATGACAATTTCAAATTAATGACAGCTATTATATTTTCCTATCAAAACTTGTCAACTATGATTGACAGTAGCTAAAAATAAGGTTAACAGTCCTAAAGCATGCTTTACAATTTAATGTCACTCAAGTGACATTGACGACCAAAGTATTTTGTCTCCCACTGTATAAGTCTAGTCAATTTAATATCTACAAAAAATAAAAATAACTTTTTTGAATAGTTTATGTGACTTGTCAAGTTCTTTTGCAAACCCTAAAAAGTCGATAAAAAATGGAAATGTTTTGTATTGTTTCCAAACATCGTAACACACTCTCATTTCTTCATGGTGTAACGAAAAGATGTGGACAAAGAATAATCCGAGATTTCCCATGTCAATATAAAGCGATTTAACTCAACTAACCTCAATACCAAGTTGCACCGTTTAAAAGTTAGTAATTAATTATATCATTGTTAACTAACACAAACATACATAAAGACACTAAAACCTATAATTTTTTTAAATATAATTTTAAAAACAATAATAATAAATGTCTAACGTCCAAAATTTTATGAACACATTTGCTTAAATTATTTTATCCGCAAACGTCACAAAAGTGACCATTTTTATGACTAAATGACTCAGGTAAAAGTTTTACTTTTCAGACATAGAGTAAAAACACTGTTTTTACGCCTAGACGTTTTCACTTTTACTTGACACTTACTTTGACATTTACCACTGTTGTCTCTTTCGCTTTTTCAGCATTTTCTGGAGAGGTGTAAGGTAGATTATCAGCATTGGACATTATGCACTATAAACTACACCAGTTATATCAATCAACACTTTCGAAATCTCAACACAAATTCCGAAACTTACGCGTGACGTTTGTTATGATTTTATTGCAAAGCGTCCTGATTATTGAGGTGATTTACTTGATTATTGGTGTGTTGCTCTTTTCTCTCCATCTGAATTGTTTGCAGATAAAATAGTATATGTTATTTAGAGTAAAAATGAGTTTATGTGGCTCAGCTGAATCCAACGTTCAGCTTCGCCACATAAACAATCACTTTTACTTCTAATAACATAATCTACTATTAAAACAATAATAATAAATGTCCAACGTCCAAAATTTTATTAACATATCTACTACACTATTTTTTTACTGTAAAACCAAGGCCAATACAAAAATTGTACTCCCTATAAGACTAAAAAAATTGTTTAAAAGTAATCTACCTTTCGAGTAAAATTACGCCACTCGGATTACGTATAACAAAAATTTGGCTTAAAATGTATCAAATTGTTAATAAGTAAGTACTTTACAATAATAATAAAATTAGAGAAATAGTACCAAAACATGTGGTTTTGATATCGAATTGCTTTTTCGAAATATGATAAAAATTGATTAATCCATTAAAAAGTTATTAAAGAAAAACGAAAATATTTTTTTTTAGCCCCCTATGGTGCAACTTGGTATAGAGGTAAAGTCGCGGTCAATTCATAGTGGCCAATTCCCTGTGTAAATTTGTAAAAATTGAGTTGTGTAAATGACTTTAAACATCCAATTATTGTTTTTTAGGGATATATCTATCAAAAATGACAATTCTGAAAAAGTCGGGTTAGAATACATAGATGAACTTCAATTTATTGCGCTTGTCACAATTGTTGACACAATTTAGTTAATTTTGCTACCAACATAGACACAACCTACACACTAGAGGTGGCGGGCAAGGGTTGCCAACTTTGCAATAAATTAAATGGCCACTATGAATTGACCGCTACTTTAAGTTGGGTTAAATCGCTTTATTTTGACCTGGGGAATCTCATGTAATTCTTTGTCCCCATCTTTTTGTTACATCCTGTATTTTCACATCTTTATCAAATTTCGACTCCCATCAAGAATTATACAATAAAATATACGTATATCCAGAAATTTTGATAAGTTTCTTTAGAGTTTTTTTACCTATTAAGTAGGAGTAATTTACAACTGTGAAGTTCTAAAATACCCAACTAAAAAAAAACAAAAAGTTTTTTTTTCTTTGGTACAGATCTCAGTTTACAAATTCACGAACCGCCGGTACATGATAAATAGCAGTTTTCTCAACTTTAACTACCAAGAGTAAGAAATATTCCACTTTTAATAATTCAGTTTATCCTAAAATTTATATGAATCTTTTTTAATTTGTACAAAATGTAAAAAAAATATTAAATTTGTTGTATAAATCAATTACAACCATTTGTTTTAAATTAGATGCTTCCGATTATAGTTTTTTTTACAAAATTTTTGTCCTTTAATAAACAAATTATAAAATCATTCATAATTGAACCATATTTTTAGTTAACCGTTTATTTGTAGATGTTATTCAGCAGTGATTTTGATACAATTTGTAATAAAACAATGAATTTACTACAGTTTTTTGTTACTTATACGATAAATAGATGATCGAGTTGGGATTTCGTTTTAAATTTTTCAAAAGAATTTTTTATCTAATCTAAATAAATTTTTCTCGCAAATTTGCTCCAAAACCAGCATTTTTGTTATTTCAGACTCCCAACCGAGTACAAGTTCTTCAAGCACCGCCAGTATAAACAAGAAACAACAAAAATACAGATCGATCATTTCGGATGTTTTCGATGGCAAACTTCTATCGTCAGTTCAATGTTTGACTTGTGATCGTGTTTCAAGTTGTGTCGAAACATTCCAAGACCTTTCCCTTCCAATACCGTCGCGGGACCATCTAGTGGTACTTCACGGTCGTACGACGGGTCCAACTGCAACATGTTCAGAGGCTGTAATTCCAATGAATGAAGGTTGGATTTCTTGGATTTTGGCGTGGTTAAAATCGTGGTTTTACGGCCCCGTCGTAACGCTCCACGACTGTTTAGCAGCCTTTTTCAGTACCGATGAATTGAAAGGGGACAACATGTACAGTTGTGAGAAGTGCAACAAGTTACGGAACGGTATTAAGTTCAGTAAAGTAGGTTTTTTTTGCTTAAGGAAAAATTCTTCAGTCACAGTGATGGTTTATTTCAGGTTCTACAATTACCTGAAGTTCTTTGTATTCACTTGAAGCGATTTCGACACGAGTTGATGTTTAGCAGTAAAATTTCTTCGGCGGTCAGTTTTCCATTAAAGGGTCTAGATATGCGGCCCTATCTTCATGGCGATTGTATTTCAAAGGTTACAACTTATGAATTATTTTCGGTTATTTGTCACTATGGCACTGCCGGTGGCGGGCATTATATCTGTTATGCGTTAAATGGTGGGCAATGGTATGAATTCGATGATCAGTATGTGACGCGAGTACCACCTGAAAAAGTCCAATCGTGTGAGGCTTACGTTTTATTTTATCGAAAAGTGACGAATACCGCAGACGAAATCAGGAGTAAGGCTATTAAACTTGCGAAAACGCATTCCACGGAACCGCACGAAGTCGCTTATATTTCCAAGCAATGGATAACAAGGTAAGATGATTATTTAAGAAGGACGTAATTTGCTATAAAAATTATCAACAAAAAAAAACAAATTTGCTTTGCTTTATTTGTGAAGCAGAGGTAGTGCGAATGCCGCGATTAGAAATTGAAGGAATCTGTTTATTGCCAAGTGTACAGTTGGGGACACGGAATCCGGGGCACTCTTTTCTTGTCGTTTCAAAAAATGTCAATGTAAATGCACCTTTACCGTCATTATGATTGATATTAAAAAAAACTGTTAAATTAACTTTGACACATCAATTTTTGCAAAATGTCAGCGGGATGTCGCAGATGTCGGGATGTCAATTGTCTTTCATTACAAAATAAATAAGGAATTTTGGTAATGTAATTTTTAAGTGAAAATAACGAATTCTAAATTACAATTGACGAATTCTCAATTACAAATGACAAACTCTGAATTATAACTAACACTTTCTGAAATACAATTGACTAATCTGAATTTCAATTTACGCTTTCTGAAGTTAAATTAATTAATCTGAAATAGGTACATCTGATGGTTTCTGAAATTCAGTTTACGTTTATGAATTACAATTAATACTTTCTGAAATACAATTGACTAATCTACACCTTTTTCAAGAGTAATTCAGAAACCATCACATGTAATTCAGATTAGTCAATTTACTTTCAGAAAGTGTTAAATGTAATTCAGAAAAGTAAAATGAGTTTCAGAAACCATGAGATGTAATTCAGATTAGTTAATTTAATTCCAGAAATCATAAATTGGAATTCAGATTAGTCAGTTGTATTTCAGAAAGTATTAATTGTAATTCAGAAACCATTACATGTAATTCACAAAATATCAATTGTAATTCAGATGAGTAACTTACTGTTTTCTCAAATGAAATTTACACATAAATACGAATTATTTTATTTTCAAAATTAAAGAATTACATAAACTTAATATTTTGTAAAATAAATAAGATATTTTATTTTCAAAGGGATTTCTAAATAAAAATAACAAATTCTGAATTACAATTGTCGAATTCTCAATTACAAATGACAAACTCTAAATTACAATTAACACTTTCTGAAATACAATTGATTAATCTGAATTACAATTAACGTTTACTGAAATATATCTTACACTTTCTGAATTACACTTGAAAAAGGTGTAGTTATGAGCACCTAAGGTATAGTTTAGAAATTTTGACAACTGAATGACACATCTGCCCAGTTTTTCGTGTCCCCCACTGTACGAATTTATTTATTTACAGTGTTTACTTCGAGGTTTGTTGTTTAAACATTAATAACATCTGTAATATCATTTTATTAGTTATTCAATTTATTTAACAATCCAAATTTTGACCTGCTCTCTTTTGGACACTAATCAAAGCTTTTTCCCCCACAAAACTACCGATAATTTTCTGACAGTTTCATTTTTTCGTCAAAACGATAAAATTGAAAATCAGGTATGTTGTCAAACAATTTTATCTCAAAGACGCATTTGATAGTTTTCCAAAAACCGTCCTATCTAAGCCCCCTCGTTTCAACGCGTTAGTGTTCAGGCCCCTCTTAAAATTGAAAATCAGGAATATCGTTAATCGTTAGTTTGATCTACGAAGAAGTATTTGTATATTGGGAGACTCAAAAAAGTGGTACACACCGCAGAATAAAAATAAGGGCGCTTATAGCGTTTTACCGCCTCAGTTTCAATTCAACTAGTCTACTAATTGCTTGGAAAAAAAAGCAAAAATGTTGAGCTTTGCATTCTTAATAAGTTTTCACGAGAAATAGCAAAAAAATATTTATAATTTAAATACTGAGCTCCGTTTCATGTTTTTCAAAATGCTGCGAATGCGGTTAAAATACAATAAAAATGTAAGAAATAAAGTTGTAGAGAATAATATTTCCTAGTAAAAAGTCCGCAAGTCTCTTTAATGGTTTAGGCCTCAAAGACGTTCAAAACCGATCAAGCGACGGATTCGTTTTATTTTTACTCTTGATTGAGTACTGGGGGAACACAATTTAAACCTAAACCAAAGAACATAGAAATATGGTGTCGGGCACTTTTTTGTAGCAAATTTTATTCTCTACAATTTTGTTTCTTACACTTTTTTAACCGTATTCGCAGCGTTCTCAAAAATATCGGGCGGAACGCAAATTGATAAATGTTTCTAATTTATTTTTAAACACTATTTTCGATATTTTTTGAGAACGCTGAGAATGCCGTTGAAAATACAAAAAATTTGTAGGGAACAAAGTTGTAGAGAATTAAATTTCCTACAAAAACTCCACGAGACCATATCTCTATCTTCAACCGTTTAAATTAATTAAATTAATTTTCTGGCTCTTGACCACCGGTAAATCTGACACCAATTTGTCGCTTCAGCGTCTTTTAACATCTTTAGGGCCTAAACCGTTGAAATAGAGGTATAGTCTCGCTGACTTTTTTCTTGGAAATTTTATTCTCTACAACTTTCTTCCTTATGTTTTTCTTGTATCTTTAAACGTATTCGCAGCAGAAATTTTTTAGTATAGTTTCCAATAAAATCTTTGCATTACCTTTATCTATTATTATTGAGAATTTAATACTCTATCTGCCTATGATTTTTACTTTCCTTATCCTAAAAGGAAAGTTATTGTAATCGGCTAAAATTTGACCTACCCAGATTTTTACATTTCTGGACGAATTCTAGCTTCAAGACACCAAAAAAGTTGATTTGGGCCATTGGGTCGTGTGTGTGTCTGTGTGTCTGTGAAACTTGAAATTTGGTATGTAAGTTATTTGTAGCAAGGGGACGCAGTACGAAACAATTGGCAAAAATCGGTCGCACCGTTCGGCCGCAAAGACCAAAAATCGGGCGTAAAGTGGCCGCAAAATTATACGGTTGAAGATACAATAAATTCATGTGGATACAAATTATTTAGAATCATGAAATATACCTTATTAAACAGTAAAATGTGATAAAATAAAAATAATAATTGGTACCGAACTAAAAAAAATTACACCCCAAACTTGACTATGATGTATTTTGCGTGTAATCCGACAGGTGGCGCAAAACGCAAAAGTTAGGCAAGGCCACCTGAATCAAAAAGCAACGCTTATAAGGCCGTTTCAATTTTCGATTTTTCTATATAAATTTTGTTTCTGTGACATTTCGGGCGTCAGAACCTTATTGCGGTCCATCTACCGATTTCGATCACAGTCGATTGAGACGTTTTATTTTTAGGTTAAGTGCTTAAAACATCAATTAAACCATGAATGCTATAAAATATCCAAGATTCGAGCTTATTCTAGATACGTTGGCCCACCAATGAAACATGCTTTTTACCATTTTATACTATTATTTTGTAAAATAGAAGGGTATTGTTTTAAATTGTCGCCAATGTTTAAATTGAACTGCTGTTATTTAATTTAATTTAACTGCTTTGATTCGTTAATCGGCCACAGAGGTCGCACAAAATAAGGTTCTATCTTTTTTGTTTTTATGGCCACTCTGCAGAAATAGTTATCATGGAGAATGAAACGGCCTTATAAGCGTAGCTTTTTGATTCAGAGAGCCTTGAGTTAGGTTTGCTATTCGGATTTCCAACGCTAAATTATTGTCGTAAGGATATTTTCCAAATAAGTATGATAAGGAAAGTCGTGTGATTTTTTTGTTTGCGTTTGGCAAGATACCCTTTTTTATTCCTCTTAATCGTGTGCAATTTTGAGCACACATTTAATTGCTTTACTTTTTTGCAGATTCAATACTTGTGCGGAACCAGGCGCCATCGACAACTCCGATTTTCTGTGCCAACACGGCTCCTTCCACCCCGATCGCGAAATTGTGTTCGAACGTCTGGCTGTAGCTTTGCCTTTGCCGGTCTACGAGTACCTCCATAAAAAATTCGGAGGTTGCCCCCCTGTAACCAGTATCAACATATGTCCCGCTTGTCTGGCTTTCAATAATCGACTTTTGTTCGAAATGGAAACGTTCGTGCAGCTAAACCGAGAAATGCAACATAAAGATATTCCTTTGACTCATCTCATTTCGACGTCTTGGTACACACAATGGCACAAGTTTGTCCAGAAGAGAACAACAGATCCTCCAGGTCCTATTGACAATTCGAAGATTAACATGAATCAGATTGACGTGAACGAATGTGCAGAAATAACGGAAGGAATTTGGAATTTCTTCTTTAATATTTATGGAGGAGGGCCGGAATTGAAGCTCAGGCCTAAGAGTTTGCATAGGACGGAAAGCGAATCGAGTTTACCGAGTGAAGGAGGAGAACAAACGCATCAGTTTGTTATACCAACTCTAAAAAAACAAGAGAAAATTGATACGATTGATAAGAATGTTTATTGTTCGGGAGAACCGATGGAGGTTGAGGAGGCTGAAGAGGAGAATGAATGTAACGGCTTTTCGGAAGAAGTAGTCAAAGACAGTACGGGAGATGCGTCTAGTGATACTTTACCTAACGGTATTTGTGCTATAAGTCATTCTAAATTAGCTCACGTTGATAACGACGTCAGTGATGATGAAGTATGTAATGTAGAAGTTAAAAATAGTAAAAGACATAGGAGACGAAGAAAAGCTTTGTCAAACATTAATTAACTCAGATTTTTTGTATATAAAGGTTTGTATGTTATTAAAGCAATAAATGTTGGGTATTGTTATTGACTATTGGTTATTTATGGAAATTGCCTTTGGGAGTCATCTAGTACAAAAATTGCTTCAAAGTATAACACATTTGGTTTTTTTTTTCAAATACCAGGCCAGTAAAGCTTGATATTTGACTCCCATCAGGCTGTACCAACTGTTTACAAATTTTTATAGTACAGGGTCTAATTATGGATTGGTTGAAATGTGTCAGATTTGCATTTGTTATGTTAGTATTTTTACTTGATTACATCGTGAACGCAGGCGGAATTAATTATTTATGAATGTTATTGCTTTATAAAACTTGTGATAAGTTCATAATTTAATTAGTAAAATTGTGTGGGTATTTTAATTTTAAGAGTGAAGTCATTTCTTGTCGACGTCAATTTAATTTATTAAACGGCGACAATCACAGTCGAAACTGATTATTTAAGTTACGCCAACCTTGCTCTATTTTAAGTGGGTGAAAAGTGGAGTGTGGGTTAAAAAAATTTAAGTATTTTTGAAAAAAAAGCCAAACTAATTTTAAGAAAGTGTATATAGTGTAATAAAAAGTGTAAGTGGGGCAAATATTTTTTCATGCCAAAAAATCTTATATTTGTGCAATTAAGAGAAATATAGAAATTTTACTCCTGTAATTGTACATAGTCTAATTATTATCTTTTTGTTTGTATTCAGGTTTATGTAGGTGTTATTACATAAGTCACTTATTAGGAACATTGTAATAATGGTTACGTTGCTTGAGTACCTGTGTCGTTGAACGAACAGGATTTAAAACAATTATTTCAATTATTGTTATAGAATTAAAACATCATTTTTCATTTGTGTGTTTCACTTATGTTATCGTTACCTTTTAAGGCGACAAATGCACCACTAATAAAAAAAGAACAACCACCTCAATTATTTTTCTACAAGCATTTAGAAACTAAATAAATAAAAAACAATTTCTGTGAAAAATAAACGTTAGGGTCTAGAAAAACCAACACATTCACGCATGGGAAGAAGAAGACAAAACATGTTTTTTTTGTTTTTTTTTTTAATTTAAATGTCATCAAATGTTAAGAAAAAATGGACAAAGAAAATTTGGACACGAAAAGACAAAAATAGTGACAAATTCTGTTCCGCTAACAGTAATGCTTTCAAAAGGAAGAAGTGCACACAAAATCTATAAAACTCAACATTTTGATAACATGAAAACATAGCCAAAACCTTTTAAAGAAATTTTTAGTTATAAAAATAAATGATGCCAAGGAGATAAGTTGCTGCCAATTTTCTCACCAAAATTTTGACTTGGTAATTTACGTGGAAATAAAAAATAAAACTTTATGTAAATTCATTATTGTGGTATTCCGCTTTAACAATATCATTTTTGCAAACCCCTGGGCGTTCGCGAATGATGCGAATCACCGATTGGGAACCAATGTATTAAGTCGTCAATAGTAATTAAACTTCAAACAATAAAAATATTGAAGATTATTAAAACATCGAATTTAACAATTTCATGGAAAAATATGCATAAACATGTCAAACTAACAAAGGAGAAAACACACTTAGTGGTTACATTAATAAGCAGAAAATTCTGAAAAAGACTGTAAGTTTTTTCTATTGTATTATTTATAAAAGGTGAAATTTAATGTGACAAGAACAAAGTTATTGTTCAACTTTAAATGTTTTTGTCTTTATAAAAGTAGTAAAAACCGCACAAATTAATTTTTGGTTTGCGAAGAAGCGGGGTTTTAATTAATTTTTTCGTTTTCTTATTTTTCTACTATTTACAGGGTTTTTTCTGTCCTCCGAAACTATACATACAAGGTGCGCCAGAACTCGCGCTCCAGAGAAAATTTTTAAGTAAGGTCGTAAGATACCAGGAACATGAAAAATATATTTAAAAAATTCTATCTGTAAAAATTTTTGACATTTGACATTTTTGTATATCTATTTAAGGATTCTGATGATCTTGTATATGTTTTTTATTTAGTAAAGGGACAAAAATTTTGCCAATAAAAGTCAAAAATAACATTGAACAGAGTTACAATTTAGGATACAGCTTCCTTGTTACCTCTTTTAATAGCCTATAGCAAAACAACTTGGAAAATTATTTTTTCAACAGAAATAAATAGAGTCAAAGTGCAAACTTTAAACCCTCATAACTTCGAAATTTTTATAGATAAAATTTTTTTAACATTTTTTCCATGTTCCTGGTATCTTACCTTATATGGCATTTTTTTCTGGGGCGCGAGTTTTGGCGCACCTGTGTACCAAGAATTTTATTTTTTAAATTCAAATTTTGCAATGTTTTAGTGAAAAAGTGAGATTTCTAATTAAAGTGATAAGAATAATTATTAAATGGAACAAGAGTAAACTCAATAATATTATTTGTTCCTTTTTTTGGTAATATTATTTTAATAATAATAATAATTTTGTCAAAATTATTCTCCGATTTAAATGTTTATCTTTGTGGCCATCATATCAAAGCTTCTGAATTGTGTACTACAAATGTTACGCTAATTCTAATTTAAGTATGATTATACCTATATGTGTTGTTGCGTGCACTGTAGGTAAAACCTGGCATTATTTTTTTATAAAAATTATTAATAACCGAATAATTGTACATTTGGGAAAGTTACTTAATTGGAAATAAATCAACATAATTCTCTGCGCTACTTCATCACATTAATATTTTTATCAATTTTGGAGTCCTGTTTCTTCATTAGTTCCGTTAATCCCGACATAACTTACCTAGCCATGAAATAACGAGAATTAGACCTAAATTTTACAATACAGTCACAAACTTTTCCTTAAAATTAACGATTTGACAAGAATTTAATTAAATAGTTTTGTTAGGAATTTATGAATTGGAGAAAGTCATGTTAAAACAAAACAATTTATGTTCATACTGCAGTTCCGCACTATTTCCAATACATGGAATCTTCAACAATTTTTTCATACTTAATTGTGCTGCATCACAGCTTGGTTCTTTCACCTATTTCAGTGATTTAGAAAAACTAATGAGAAATCCTGTCACTAAAAGAAAATGTAGTGACTGCTAACAATAAAAATAAAAGTTTGAACTATTACCAGCAGTATAATTACAAGCTGTCACGTATCGTATTTGAAACCTCTCGTTGCGAAATTGCAACAACAATAATAATTTCAGCCTTATTCCCCTGAAAAAATGAAATGTTTTGTTTTGACGCAATCCAACTTTCTAGCGTGTCGTTTTGAAGACTGAAATGCGTGTTCAAACTTAGTCATCGAGTGTATTTTTGCAGAATCTCATTATAAATTTCTTCCACCCGTAAAGTAGGTTAGGAGAAAGTTAACTTTTTACAACAAACACTGCAGTGTATTTAGTATAACATTGGCAGCTGTAGTGTGCAGTGTTATAATTTGACAAAGGTAAGTAATTTTTTAATTAATGTGAGCGGTGACTTCAACGCTCGATCACAAAACAGGCTGTTTAAGCATCGGCATGAAATAAATTTGTTACGTGATCGGCACTTTAATGATCTAAATTATTTCTCTAATTACTCTATTGTGTCCGAACAAATAAGCCCATCAGCGAAATCGCGCGTGTCCATTAACTTATTTTTAATTTAACATTTCGCATTCAGTTAACATTCGCTATGCCGTTGAAAGGTGAGTTTGAAAATTAAGCGCAAGTTTGAAATTTTCACCAAAAATCGGTTGCTTGCTTCCAATTGGGTCAACCACTTGAGCCACCAAAGAAAGCGTTTTACTTTCTTTATTTCCGCGTCACTTTCACAAACGCAACCTTAACATTGAAATACAATGGACATCTTTCGCCTAATACGGCGGGAATGGCACTTTTCCAAATTGATTTCTTTTCTTGGACTTAATTAGTGTAATTTTGAGCTAATCCACGTATTGTAATAAAAGTGGGACGCGTTAATTGACAGTTGATTCAGTTGTCTTGTTGAAATTGCAGACAAAGCAATGGGTTTAGGAGGACAAGATTCATCCGTTGCGGACTACGTCTGCCAATTACCGGAAGCCGAAAGAACGAAAGCGCTTCAAGAACTGAGAGAAGATGATAATATCAGGGAACAGAGCTTGGATCAGATGCGGGAGTGGATCAACAAACATCCCAACATCAAGAAATGCAGAACAGGTATTTTCCACATTAAATAAAAAAAATCATCTTGTTTAAATAATATCACAAAATGACAATCTACTTATGTTCTAGTTAATAATAGTTAATTTAGTCATAATTTTCACAGTTTGTAAATATGTGAAAGTGTGTATGGTCTGACAAGGGCAAGTCTAGATTTATTCCGATACTTAAATGGATAAATAGAAAATTTTTGAAGTAATTGGCATTTATCTAATACATATGATTAATTATTTTCGAGCAGCACATAGAGAATTGAATTGATTAGAATTCAAATATTAAAAAAAAACATTTTTCCAGCAATTTCATCGACGTAATTGTATTTTTTATCAAAGTGAAACAAATATAGAACTGCAAGATATCCTACATTCCACTGTAATTTCAATCAATCAATTTTCTATGGTACTATGATTAATGATTATTTTATTCCTCAAAGAAATTGAATAAATAACTGTCATACCTACTTTATTTTTTTTTTAACTTCAAACCCTTCAAACGAGAGAGGCTTCCAAGAATGACACTTTTAATACATCGATAACATAGTAGTTTAAAATAAAATACTACTACCGATGTTAGTTTCTTTCTTGCAAAACTATAAAAATCTCTTTCAATAAATTTTCAGGTGACAAAAATGCAGTTTCGGTGTGAATTGTGTGCAGTTTTTTATTGTATCTATAATTAAAAATTTAAATACATACGTTGAAATCTGGGTATTTTATAAACTTATAAAGAAAGGCCAGCGTTTCGCCCGCTCTTATATCTTCAGGCTTTCTGCTAAAAAATTGTAGAACAAAATTAAAATAATTTAAGTAGTTTTTAGTTAATTTTGCAAAATCTTTGTCTTTAAAATCGAAAAACGAAACATTTTTTAAAATATACCTATTTTACTATACCTAACAATTTTAAATTGTGAAAATATTTACAAGCACAAACGTGTGACTATTGTTATTATTATTATTTAGAATAGAACAAAGCAAACTTTAAACTTTAACATCTGGCATAAAAAACAGTACTTATAGGTATTAAAATACGAGTTGTAGAAATTCCGATACAAGCCGCAAATGGCTTTCTGTAACCAATCTTTTTTTAGATATACATTTTTCTATTCTATTTCTATTTAAATAGACAATTTTTATTTTTACGGAATTTTGCGTCATTTAGCAGTGTTATTTATAAAGACGTTGGAAATTTCAACTCGAATTGACATTTGTCATTGAATCTAAATAGAAATGAATTGTTAATAATTTCATATAATATTTTTATTGCTTTATATACAGGCTGTTCTGGCTAAACGCCACATTAGAAGTATTGGGAGTTCTAACAGTTATATTAAGTTCTGCCCAATGAAAAGATTTTCAAGTGGATATCAGCTTTTTTTTAATAGAAAATTATGTTTTTTATTGCGTTTTATTGCCTTTATTGGATTAGTCAAGTGATTTTGAAAGAGTTTTTATGAGACTTTCCTATACTTAAATTTAACCGTTTTTTGAAATGTTTAGACTTTTTTGAATATTTTTTAATTTGCATTTTCCTCTCCAAAAATTGATAACTATACCATTTTTAATTATTTTGTAATCATATTTGGGCATAATATAAAAAAGAAAGGTCGTTAGATCTTTTCTTTCGTGGAAAATAAATTGGAAAAATAATTAACAAACCTCCAAAATTTAAGATTACGTTTGGGAAATTTCAAATACTCTTAACTTAATTTTTCTAAATGAAACACCCCAATCTTTTCTTCACTTCAAATGGAGGAGAATTTAGTTCTGCTTATCTGTATTAACATTCCCTATACATACAGGGCTTTCATTTCAAAAGGATCCAGTCTCAATAACTTTTGACATTGAGTAAATGGATTTTCAAGCAAAAACAGGTCGATTAGGATCTCGAGGGGGAAGTTGAAAACCAACATTAGTTACATTTTAAGTTTCATCCTCTAGTCGCTAGCCACCCCTACTTTAAAATTTTAATGGCACTCCCTACTTTTTAGAACTTTTTAGAAAAAAATCTGCGTCTCTAAATGTCAACGAAAAAATTTTTTGTCGATTTATTTTTCAATTAGGGGTGGTTTAATTTTTGAAATTTTTAGTCCTGGTAGCCTTTGATTGAACTCAATTTAATTTAAATAAAAAATATGTCAATTTGGATTGCGATGGGAGAATTCAAAACCAACATTAAATACGTTTTAGGTTTCATTCCTTAATCACTAACCACCCTTACTTTAAAATTTTAAAGAGCACCTCCAGCTTTTTGAAAAATTTTTGGAAAGGGTGGAAAAAAGCTTATCTAATCGTAAATGAAAAACAAAAAATTTAGTTGATTCGTTTTTGAGTTAGTTCGTTTTGAGTTTTGTTTTAGAAATTTGCATCAGTCCTAGTATAGCCTTTAACCTTGATTTTAATTATGTATCATCTAATACATTTTATTAAGAAGGTGGTGGTGTCAACAATTCAGCGAAAATTTACCATTTGACAGTTTAGTTAATTAAATAATTACTTTTATTTAAATTAAATTGAGTTGAATCAAAGGCTACTAGGACTAAAAATTTAAAAAAATAAACCACAATTAACTAAAAAACCAATCGACAAAAAAATTTTTTTCTTTGACATTTAGATACACTCATTTATTCCCTTTCTGAAAATGTTTCAAAAAGTAGGGGGTGCCATTTAAAATTCTAAAGTAAGGATGACTAGCCACTAGGGGATGAAACCTAAAACGTATTTAATGTTGGTTTTAAACTCTCCCATCGCAACTCAAATCGACATATTTTTATTTAATTGAGTTGAATTCAAAGTTCAAAGGCTACTAGGACTAAAAATTTCAAAAATTAAACCACCCCTAATTGAAAAACAAATCGACAAAAAAATTTTTTTCTTTGACATTTAGAGACGCTGATTTTTTTCTCTTTCCGAAAACGTTCTAAAAAGTAGGGGGTGCCATTTAAAATTTTAAAGTAGGGGTGGCAAGCGACTAGGGGATGAAACTTAAAATGTAACTAATGTTGGTTTTCAACTTCCCCCTCGGGATCCTAATCGACCTGGTTTTGCTTGAAAATACATTTACTCAATGTCAAAAGTTAATGAGACTGAATCCTTTTGAAATTAAAGCCCTGTATGATTCATAGTTTTCAAGTTATAGTAATAACTTCTTTTGATATTGTGAGAAATTCATTATCCATAGCTACTTTAGTATAGTTTGTCATAGAAATTAGAAAAAAATAGAATATCAAAGTTATTCAAATTTAGATTATAGTTATTTATTATACAAGACAAAAAAGAAATTGTTTATCTACTAGTGAAAAGGTTAAGTTTACGATCAGATAAACAATCTTTATCGTCGTGTATAATATTTTGTTTCATTTTGTATTCACCTACCAGAATTTCTTGAATATAAATAGTAGATGAAAATTACTTTATTTCACTAGACGCTAAAAGACTACTTTATCTACTGAAGTTAGTTGATAAAATATAAACAGTAGACAAAAATTACTTTATTTCACTAGACGATGTACTGAAATTAGTTGATAAAAGCACTCTTTAACATTGAGTACAAAATAAAATAAATTTAATTTGTATTTACGAAAGGAATAACACAATTGTAAAAAAAACTTATCGTTTTATACTTGAGAAATATTTCCATGGCAAACTATGCGAAAACCACAATGGATAGTATTGAATTTCTTCCATTGTAAAAAAAATCAAAACAACTTGGAAATTATTAAACTTAAGTATAAGGAATGTTGATACAGACCGATGCAGTTTTAAATTCTCTTTCATTTAGTAAAGAAAAAATTGAGGCCTTCCATTTGAAAAAATTCAGTTATGGGTATTTGCAGTTTCCCAAACGTAACCTTAATTTTGGAGTTTTGTTAATTATTTTTCCAATTATAAATACACGAAAGAAAAGATCTAACCTTTTTTTTTCATATGCCCAAACACGATTTCAAAATAATTAAAAATGGTAGAGTTATCAATTTTTTTCAAAAAAGTCTAAAGGTATAAGGAAGTCTGATAAAAACTCTCTTAAATCACTTAAGTAATCCAAAAACGCAATAAATAACATAACTTTCTATTTAAAATAACAAAGTAGATACCCATTTCCCTGTGTAACCGGAATTTTGAAAATATTTTCATAGAGCAGAATCTAAACGATTATGGCTATAATCAAAATTTTAGATCAAATATCACTGTTAGAACTCCCAATACTTCTAATGTGGAGTTTAGCTGGAACAGCTTGTATAATGAAATTAAATATTATTGCAATTAAAAATCCAAAAATGTAGAATAAATGTTGCATATTGTTTTTTCAGATGCTCCTTTCCTGCTCCGTTTCCTAAGAACTCGCAAATTCAGCGTTCCCCAAGCGTGTGAGATGTTGGAACGCTACTTAACCATCAGACAACTGTACCCGCAGTGGTTCAGAAACCTAGATTGCGAAGATCCAGATTTAGCCGAAATCATCAATGCTGGATACCTCGTGCCGCTTTTAGAGCGTGATCAAGGGAGATTAGTTTTATTTAGTTGTGCTGGAAAATTTGATCCTCATAAATTCACTTCAGCACACATGGTTAAAGTCCACAGTTTAGTCACAGAAACTCTCATGGACGACGAAATCAACCAAATTAACGGCTACACTTACATTAATGACGAAAGTGGATTTCAGATGGCTCATATTTCTCTGTGGTCTTTAACCGATGTTAGAAACATTCTGAGATGTATTCAAGTAATGCCAACAGCAATAAAATAAAAAAATGTATATTGATTGATTCTGTTTACAGAATACTACACCAATGAGACATAAAGCTAATCACTTCTTGAACATCTCATCCAGTGCGATCAAACTTATTGAATTCGCGATTTCTCTTCTCAATGAGAAGCTTAAAAATCGTATTTTTGTAAGTTAAATTTTCTATGCTAATAACAATAAATGTGACATTTTTTCTACAGATCTATAAGAATATTGAAGAAATGTACGAAAAAGTCGATAAAAAGATACTTCCCAAAGAATATGGAGGTGAAGTACCTCTTGAAGAAATGTTAGCAAAATTCAAGACTGTTCTCAAAGCAAAACGCGAGCAAGTTCTAGCTCTAGATGACATGTATATAGAAATCGACGAGAAAACTTGTCCTCTAGTCTCTGAAATGAACGAAGAGCTTGGTGTTGGCATTGATGGCAGCTTCAAAAGATTGACCGTTGATTAGTTAACTAGTCTTGAGCAGTCACAATCTCTTTTTTTTTCTGTTACGTAAATGTGATAACAATGACAATTATTCAACCTGAATAATAAAACTTACTAAACTTTTTACAGCTAGTGGTTATTGTAATGGTAATGTAACTCAATTACTTTGTAAGTTTATTAGCTAGAATATGCCCATGGTGGTTTTCAGTTACCTTTTCTTTCCGTAAACCTATATTATTAAGTCGTTATGTTACTGTAATCGATAGGAATTGATAGATTACCGGTGAACTATTAAAGATAAGTCACTCAAAGTAGGTGTCACCTGTTCTATTTTATGGTAGTTTATTATTTCGTAGTTGTTATTTCGTTTTGTTGTTTATCAGAATTTTGTTGTATAAAAATTATAAGCACGTTGTTGAAATAAGTTTGTTCCAAGATATATTTTTCTAAGGCAAAATATGAATGCGTTTTATTAAAAAAAAAACTCGTTTATTTACTTATTTATAATAACGAGCAGTTTTAAATTCCAAATCCCAGAAGTAGGATTTATCATTTTGTTAGATTTGAAAGGTGACTTTATAAGAGATCATTTTTCCGCAAATTTTAAAACAAAAGTTTCCTATGAACATGTATCAAAAAATGTTATGTAAGCGAGCTACACCCCCTAAACGAGATGCGTTTTTAATGGGGTTTTCCCACTATTGCAGAATATATAAATTACAAAAATTGATACAGCTGATAACTTTTAAACACCTGAACGAATTCAAAGATCAGTTGTCGAAATTTTTAAACACGAGCGTCTTAAACGGTAAAACTAATTTGATTTTGATTTTTTATCCTCTTTATAGTCTGTAAGACAAAGTGTAAAATAATTTTACTCAAAAACGGTAAGTTGTATCGAAAAAACGCAAGAGATCTATTTTTTGTGAAAAACTATGAAATTTAGAATTGTGTGGCTGAAAGTGGCAAGAACCAACAGACAAAACAGTTAGAGTACTTTTTACCCTAAACCCCCCCCCCCAGTTTAACACGCCCCTGAGTGAAAATTTCGACGTTTTATCTTTGAATTCGTTTAGGTGTATAAAGGTTATTAGTTGTACCAAATTTTGTAATTTTATCCACAATAGTTTCTGAAATATTGGAAGAAATCCATTAAAAGATGCACCCCTTTCAGGGGATGTAGCTCCCTTATATAAACTTTTTCGATACATATTTATAGAAAACTTTTATCTTAAAATGAAATATTGTATCCCTGTATGTATAATCCATTTCATTGAAATTGGCATAACAGTAGGCCATGATTGTGTAAACCGCGCTTTAAATGTGAAAAAGGCTTTACATATTAAGGAACTAAATTTGTCACTATAAAAAGTGAGGTTAAGATAGTTAAAATTTTATTTTTAAAGAACCCTTTTTCAGAAGTTTTCAGAGAGTTTTTTCGATAAAAAGTTTAACATCCTGTTTCATCCCTTTGTAGGTGTAGTTTTAACACTAAAAACATACACTATTTGCTTTGTAGAAAATACAGACTTCGTTGATAATAAGTGGCTTCCAGAAATTTTAAAAGACGTTTTATTCACACCGGAGATAAAACACAATTTGTTTTCCGTGTAAGTTGCATCCGAAAGGGGTTTGGATTTTGTCATTAAAAATGTAGGACAAAATTTTGAATTTTTAAACAATGGTAAAGTTGTTGCGATCGTAGGGGAAAAAAGAAATCTGTACAAAATGAAGCTTCGCGTACTGCAGCCTGAAAAATGGTGTTTTGCCCTGGATAAAGTAATTTGGCATAATTCAAATTGGTATAGTTGATTCCATTAACCTAAAATTCCTAAAACAGGAATAACAAAAAGAAATTCATTATGTTTTCAAACATACCTTAGCGAGTACTTTAAATCTGAAGAGAACTAGTTTTAATTAAAATTTGAAAAAGTAGTGGGAATAACGAACAAACAACGAAAACACTGAAAAAACGAATACAAATGTCAGTCATGTCAGTTCAATAAACCATGTAGGTAAGTAATCAAAGAAAAACAAAAACCCCATCAGCTGTTATAACAGGAACATGTGCAGGGCTACAAACTTAAATACGAAATTCCATAGCCACCTATTATGCCAATTTAAATGAAATCTACTTTATGTGGATTTTATTGACAAAGTTTTTGCACATTTACTGAATAATTATGAAAAAACATATGCAAGATCATCAGTAGGTATTAGTATTTAGGTAGCATTAAATACAGAGTGTTAAAAAAAAGATTGTAAAATATTTAAGGAGGTAATAGTTTCGACCAAGAAAAACAAAAAACCGCAAAGTAACGGTTTTGGAGATTTCGAATGTGAAATTTTTTTACCCCCTGAATTTATTTTGAAAAAATGTTTCATTTTTTTATCATATTCTCCAGTAAATAGCCTTGAGGAGCTGCAAATAGTACAAATATGCATAACTTATTTTAGTAAGGCCAACAATTCCAACCCAATAAGGGGGTTTAAAAAGAGTTCGAATATCCTTCAGACGAAGATGTCGTGCCTGCGTGGAAATGGAGGGAGCGCAGTTTCAACATCTTCTGTAAAGTTGATTTTTGCAGATATTTACAATCTAAAAGCTTCTCTTCTTTGTGTGAACAGATTGCAAATAAATGTTTCAAAAAACGAATAATCTTCGATATCTCCGAAACCGTTACTTTGTGGACCCATGTTTATTTTGACTTTTTTGTTTGTTTTGGTCCATACTATCACCTCCTAAAATATTTTATAATATTTTTTAACACCCTGTACACATGAAAAAGTCAAATGTCAAAAAGTAAATGTCAAAATTTTTTAACAGAGAATTTTTTGATCATTTTTTTCCATGTTCCTGGTACCTTGCCTTACATGGAATTTGTCTCTGGGGCTCGAGTTCTGAAACACTCTTATTGTCTTTTTAATAAAAAAAAAAAACAAATTCTATAACTATAAAAAACAAATACACACATTTTTATTTTTATTGGTTATAATTGCAATTATAAATATAATTATAAAAGTTATTAATTACAACATGTTTATACTCATTTCGGCACATTCTTGGACTGTTGCCGTCCCGCCGGCAATGACATAGAAGTGTGTAGGTAATTCGTATTAATACAATAGTAAATTTTGGAATTATTAGAAGTTATATAGTAAAAAGAAGCAAAAATTTTTATCTTCAAGTAAAAATAAAGGCTTTTTTAAGGACGTTAATCATTATTATTATTAATTTAGCGACTTTACCTGATTTTTGGTGATTTCTGTTGTCGACCTACCGAACCAAAGGTTGTTTCATAAAGGAACACCACAAATTTAGAACTTTAGTAAGTTTAGTAACAATTTTGTTATAAAAAAGTAAATAATCACACATTTTTTGACTTTTGAAAAATTGACAACTGACAACCTTGTTTAGGTTGGTACTTGAGTTGTCCCTAGATCTAGTTCCAACGCTGTCGTTTCACGTTTGTACGCGGGCGACTGGGCGACACCATTTTCTGTTTTATATGTGGACAAAATTTTATTAATGGTGATAAAAAATGAGTGATTATTCAGCGGTAGCGCCGCCACCTCAACAGAATTTTGGTCCTTCCTCAGCTTTTGCGGCCGCCCTCCAAAGAGCAAAACAAGTCAGTATTCCACCAGTAAACAACAAAGCTATCGGCTTTCGACAACAAGCTAATGTTTTTGTATTTCAGATCGCTGCTAAAATTAACCCAGGATCTACAAACCCGGCCGATAATCGACCGAAAAGGCCTCTAGAAGACGGGCCAGGTTTGTAGGGTTAGAAACCTTAGAAGACGCTTCTAACATTTTTTGCTCTAGAACCGGATGCTAAAAAAGGTCCAAGTAATAGTGGACCGCCTCCTCAACTTCCTCCGCCTGGAAACAGACCACCGCCGAGTCAAGGTGGTATGGGTGGACCTCCCATGGGTGGTGGACCTCAGCTTAATGAAGATATTAAAGTGCCTGATAAAATGGTTGGGTTAAGTAAGTATCAAGAAGGTTAGAAAATGGATTCAGTTGTGTTTCGCACTGAGAGTTATTTGTTTTATTCTTTTAAGTGTTGCGAGCACTGAAAGAACACGAAATTCTTTTGTTTTGTTACACTATTCAGGGAAGGGTGGTTTCAGTGGCTTGACATGTGGGGTAAAAGTCTGTTTATTCTAAATTTGTCTGCTTTTCTCTGTTTTGGACAATTATTTTTTGAGTATTACCGCAGCACCAGGTATACTGGTATGAAAATCAATATTCTAATGAGCTGATTTACATCATGAACATTCATCAAAGGTTGTTATTTTAAAAATACGTGACATACATTACTTTGTTTTAAAGGAAAATATATTCAAATAACGGCCACTTTGATGTACTTTGAAGTCAATAAAAATTTTGCGTTGTAATATGATTAAGATTATTTATTTTTCATACATTGGTATGTCTGTTATGCACACTGCAGACAATTTATACTAAAAAATTGTCGGAATTTTAAACAGTGTTTTAATTCATAACTTTTGCTTTATCAATATAAGTCATTTGCGTTTTATTTTTCTAACAAATTGTTTATCTGCTAAAGTTGTGTAATGGAATCTGAATTATTTAATTTTTTTTGTTTATATTTATTTTATTTCTTTTTTTTTTGTAATGTTGGTTGGCGAAACGTATTACAAATACCTACATACAGGGTGTTTAAAAAATAGCGCACTTCCTTGAAAGGGAGTAATTGGGTGGTCCCACAGAGAACTGAAAAAAATCTATCTGTCAAAAAATTTTGACATTTACTTTTTGACATTTGACATTTTTTTAATGATACTGTTGATCTTGTATATGTTTTTTGAATAATTATTTACTAAAGGTACAAAAATTTTGTCAATAAAAGCCTCAAATAACACTAAACAGAATTACAATTTAAGATACAGCTTCCTTGTTTCTTCTTCTAATAGCCTGTAGCAAAAAAACATGGAAAATTATTTTTCCAACAGAAATAGAGTCAAAGTGCAAAATTTAAACTCTTATAACTTTGAAATTTTTATAGATAGAATTTTTTAAACATTTTTTCAGTACTCTGGGGGACCTACCAATTACTCCCTTTCAAGGAAGTGCGCGATTTTTTGAACATCCTGTATATTGTTCGTATATAAGGAAAGGATGATAACATACCCGGCATGAGATCTTAAACACTATCATTTTGTTTTCCGTAAACATGTAATACGAGCTAGGAATTGTTATATTAAAATCAAAAAAATATATAATAATATTACATGTTCGTCCTTCTAATTACTTCTAATTAAAGAGAAAGTTAGTGATTAGGTTGCGTATTAATCAAATTGCAGTTGCCTGCATAGCCTCAAGAGCTGATCAAGTGATCACTAATGAAATTCTAATTAATTTTCCGGAAAACAAAAAAGGAAAATAGAGGAAAATTGTTTTCATGTATAAAAAGATAACACAAAACAAAGTTTAATGTTTTTTTAATGAACGTTTTGAATTTTCCCCAGTATCTGAATTTATCTAAGATTATCATAATTTATTACAAAATATTAGTGTTTCTCAGAAGAAAATAGAAAGTCGTGTGCGATTTGTTTACATCTATTGATTAATGGAAAACACAATCTGATTGGGTGAGAATTACTTACAAAAATCTCAGATTCAAAAAAGCATTGATTTAAATACTTTCACTTTATTATGAAATTGGTCCTAGCATCAATATAAATGTTATGTTTACTTTTACACGTTTGTACCGTGCAAAAAAAAAATTAGAGTAGGCAGTGATTAAAGTCCTTCAGATGGCAATCCTGATTTTTGACATCAAATGTCAGCGGAAAGTTTGACAAGTTTTCGTTTTATTTCTTTTGAGTAAAATAATGTTCACTTTAGAGCAGAAAATTTTTATTGCTGTACAAGATGAAAACGGTGGATATTCATTTTCACTTTCAGTTTGTGTGGAAAATTTCCAGCCCAGATTTAGAATTTAATGACGCCTACTCTAATTTATTTTTTATTTGATCGCACGGTATGACATCCAGGACATTTCTAAAAATGGTCAAAGAACTACTTTTTTGATACGCCAATGCTAATTTAGATACTCTTATAATAGAATTTTAGTTTGTGCTAAACTTATTTTAGTTTGACAATAATGAATTTTTGAAAATGAACACCGGTAAATTCAAAGTTAGAAGTTAAATCAACCAATTTTTAAAAAGTCAAAACTAAAATAAATTTTTTATTCATCAAAAGTAGTAATGTTTAAACATTTATTGAAACAAAAAATTAACAAATCACTTTTTAATTACATGTTTCTCTTCTTGGTTTCTTACTACCATTCCTTTTTAAAAGAAAAAAAAAATAATAAAGAAAGAAAAAACATATATTTTTATGTCCGTTCTTTTAATTTTGGGGGGTGTTATAAATAAATATAAATAATCATATTCTGAATACCCTATTTCTCTTATAACAAGACGGTTTTGTGTTATCTTTTGAATTAAAGTAGTTAAACCTTTTGCAAGAATAACATTTAAAGTGGATATCACATTATGCTAGACGTTGATACAATATTCAATTTCTGTATAACAAATCGGAATTTTATCCTTCTTCCGCTTTTTTTCTCCTAATTTTTCGATTAGTCATTACTGAATAATAATGTTGTATTGCAGTAATTGGTCGTGGAGGCGAACAGATCACGAGGCTTCAGTCCGAATCAGGCTGTAAAATCCAAATGGCACCTGATTCTCAGGGAATGCCAGACCGTGTATGTTCGCTATCAGGCACTAAAGAGGCCATCAATAGAGCCAAGGAGCTCATTATGAATATCGTTCATCAAAGAGGTCGCACGGAAGGGTTGGGTGGGCTCGATCTAGGACCAAATATGGGTCACAATAATTACCCAGGTTGAAAAAATACACGAATTTTTGTGATTAATGCATGCTCAATTTTATCTTATTAGTTATTAGTTTTTGCACGTCAATAATGTTTCGTATTTGCAACAAATATAGCTTTCAGGTTGTGGCTTTTCTCCTTTTTTATGTTTATTATTACTTTGCTTTAATACAGTTTGTTCTAACACGAAGCGTAGTCGATCAAGGTTAATCCACTAATGAGGATTTTTTCATTTCACATATTTTTTGTTTTTGCACTGGACCAGTAATTTTTCTATTCTAACATAAATCTTTGATCTACAGGGATGAACAACATGAACCAGGGCATGGGTGGTGGCAGCGGCGGCGGCGGTGGTGGAGGAGGAGGTGGCCGTAATTTCGTCGAGATCATGATCCCTGGTCCTAAAGTCGGTCTTATAATTGGTAAAGGGGGCGAAACCATAAAGCAATTGCAAGAAAAGAGCGGTGCGAAAATGGTTGTGATTCAAGACGGCCCCAATCAAGAACAAGAAAAACCGCTAAGAATCAGCGGTGATCCTTCCAAAGTCGAATACGCCAAACAGTTAGTGTACGATTTGATTGCCGAAAAAGAAATGCAGAATTATAACCGAAGAGGGGGTGGTGGCAGACAAGATGATCGGCAACAGTACAACGATTATGGAGGCGGGGGCGGCAACGAGGCCGAAGTTTTAGTGCCGAGACAGGCTGTGGGGGTGGTTATCGGTAAAGGAGGCGATATGATTAAAAAGATACAAGCGGAAACTGGAGCACGAGTGCAGTTCCAGCAAGCTAGAGAGGAGGGCCCGGGCGAGAGGCGGTGTTATCTCTCTGGAACCCCCAAACAAGTCGAACAGGTGAGAAGCGCTTTTTACAAAAAACAGCTGGTTTTTTTAATGAATATAGATATAAAAATAATAATTGAGCCCTTAAACTTTACAACAGCTACGTAATTTTTAATTTATGTATTATGTTATAACTTTGGAAAGATCGATTAAAATTCTTAATAACACATTAATCACAAGAACAGCATTTATAAGTAAAAATTATTAAATAGTAATTTAAGGTTGTTGTTTCGTTAATATCATACTTTTATCGACAACAAACCTCACATCTAATCAAGGGCGGATCCAACGGAGGGGGCCACCAAAAGCTTCCATTTTTTACGTTTAAATTTTAATATAAAAACCTTATGACCTAAAGTTTTTTAAATAAAAACATTAGAATTCTTTTTAAATCACACTTATTAATACAAATCATACATGTACCGAGAGATCAAAATAATTTGTAATCGAGTCATTTTTGGATTCGAAAACGTACAGTTGCGGAATTAAAATTTAAAATTAAAATTTCGGGCAGTACTGTCATTTTCATTTATATTTTATTTTATTTCATTTACCTTTATATTAATAACCTCATTTTTTACTCGTGTTATATTTATGTCATTTTGACTTATTTACTTTCAAAAATCGTGATTTGTGGCATAATAACGGATAGGCAGCAGATCAAAGCGATGATTTAATTACACTTAGTTCAATTAATAAATTTCCTAAGACAGACAAATTGTTTAATTAACAAATTTAACAACAAATAAAAATAAGTTTAATTGTCAAATGTCAGTAATGATGACAGTAAAAGGTAGTTTACAGTGAACTTTTTAAAGTGACAGAAAAATAGGTACTGTCCGAATTTTTAATTCCGCAACTGTACGTATGTCTGTTTTTGAACTAACTGTACGTGAAACGTCAAATAAAATGACAAGTCGAAAACGGCAAAATGGGCTGGAATTAGTCGCCGACGTATAATAATAAAACCCTTCTTTTTTGAAGGTAAATCATAAATTTAGTTATCTTTTTGATCATGGGATTTTACCTTTCCACTTGTCATTTTATTTGACCTTTCACAGACATACGCACAGGACATACGTTTTCGGATACAAGGACAAATTATCTTGATCTCTCGATACTTAGTTAGTTTTTACTAATTTAAAAAGAAATCATCAATTGTAATTTTCTTTGGGCCATATCTTAGGTATCTAATTAAATTAAGTTTACATCTGTTTGAATAATGAACTTTACCAACTCAATAGAACACCTTATACACAATTTTCAACTTGTTTTAAAATTTTACACATTTTGGTTTTTGGGTAATGACGGCAGCGACATTTTTTTTTTAATGGAAACCCCTATTTTTTTTAGCGAATTCGGTAGATTTTTTTTTAATTGTCGAAATGGCAACACAAAAATATTATGTGTTACATAAAGTTTTTCAAAAAAAAAATATCCAAAAAGTGAAATAATATCAATAAAAAACAAACTTACAATTTTAAATCAAGTTAAAAATTTTGTATTTTTTAAAAAGAAAATTTAACTGTTCGAGCATTTTTCCAAAACAAAATATTTTCAGTTTTAATAAATAAGATTTTTCTATAATTTTGCCGCTCACTGTACCGGGTGGGGCATCCGTTACGCCTAAAAAGAAAATTCTCACTTCTAATTAAATAAAATTGTTGAATTTTTTTACTCTCACCTGGGCATTAGTAAGGTACATTCTCTAATTTTTTGGTAATTTTTCATTCACAAACAAAGCCAAAAAAAAAGTAATTTTCTCTCAAAAAATTTAATTCTAATTTTTATACTGACCTACGCAGATTCACTTCCTACAATTGTTTACAAAATCAGAAAACAAAGACCAATTAGATTTTGAATTAAACGCAATTTTTGATCTTAACTTTGAAAATCATTTTTATTTATGACCTTGTGCCATCATAAATTTAGGTGACAGTTACATAAAGTATTGATAAAACACATAAAACATTTATTATCCAAGAAAAATAGAAAAATTCTCAAATTATACCCTATCAATAATTAGTTAGGTATATGAAATATCGCCAGTTTTAATTAATTTGAAGTCGTGATTTATCAAGTGCGCGTAACCCATGCCCTACCCGGTATACCCTCATCATTCTAAAAAAATTTAGAGAGCCACCCACTAAATTAATTCCTGTATCCTCTGCATCTAATTATGTGTTGTCATTCTTGTAATCTTGTCGACCTGAGTAAATTTAAGTAAATTGCTCATTTTTAAATTTAGATTATTTGTGTAATTAAGTATCGAAAAATTTGTAGACTAACTTTTATTTTTCAATGAACTTGAGTTAAAAACACGAAATACTTATTATAAAAATTGTGAACTTCTCAGGCTAGACAACGAATAGAAGAGCTCATCGATAGTGTTCATCGAAGAGATGGCGGCGACGGTCCCGGCCAAGGCCGAGGTAGAGGAAGAGGCGGCGACCGATACGACAGTAGAGGAGGAAGTAGCAGAAATGGCGGTGGACAAGAGTATGGCGGTTGGGACGACAGGAGACAGCAACAACCTCCACAAGAAGTGACATTTGTTGTTCCAAGTTCGAAATGTGGAGTTATAATCGGGAGAGGTAACATCACTTTTACCTTTGATGAAAAAACTTTTATTTAATAAATTTAAAATACAGGTGGTGAAACGATCAAACAGATAAATCAACAGTCCGGTGCCCATTGTGAGTTAGATCGTCGGTCTCAGAACAATCAGAATTCTAATGAAAAAACATTTATTATCCGCGGCGATCCTGATCAAATCGAAGCGGCCAAACGAATTATCAGCGATAAAGTCCAAATGCCTCTTAACTTCGTACCTGTCGGCGGTCCTGCGATGTCGAACAACATGCAAACTGTAAGTCTGCAACCACGACCGTAGAATAGGGCGGGAATCTCCTCGATTTTATTCATAAATATGTTGAAAAAACTACCCGTGGCACCCTCAAGCGTTTATTTAATCTTAAATAATTAATTGTGTTATGGTAAAAGTTGCAGCATCTTTCATTCTTTTGATTTTTATTTTTGTGTTGCTTCAAGAAAAAACGAAGAAATTCTTGAGTAAAGAACAAGTAAAACATGTTGAAAAAATTTTGAATTAAGGGTTCTATGCAGTGAGACCGAAAGACCGCTTTTAGTTTTACCCCGCAACTCAATATACATAGTTTTATGTTCTTTCGTGGTAGTGTTGATTGACAGCTAATAAACCAATAACTACTGGTGACGAAATCATACACAATACTAGGGTTTTACAATTGTACCTGAGTTGTTTTCTAGATTTGAAAATCTTTCGAATTGCTTTGCTAGAATTATTTTAGAAAAATAAAAGTACACATATTCGTGCAATAAAGAGAAAAAATTAGAACACTAAAAGCTAATAACAATATTGTATAATCACATACATACAAGGTGAATAAAAACTATGGAACCAAGCGGTTTTTTTTTTTAATTATTTGTCTTCAGAAAATAATAATTAATAAAGATTAAAGTGCTATAAAACATGTCATCGTGTTTTGAGAATGAAATTTTGTCTCGTTTTTGTGTGATTTTTTTGTCAAAATGACAACTTATTAAAAAAAATCGATAAAAAATTTAATAAAATGTAAATAGTTGTAATCTTTAGACCATAGCCTAAAAAAGGTTTCAAAGGGGATTGCCATTTAAAAAAAAAAATAAAAAAAAATTACAGAACTCAAAAACAAAAATTCAAAAAATTGTTGGTTTCATACGTGGTATACTGTCACTGTCTTGAGGTTGAAATTTAAATGAGATGATATTCACGGTAAAGGAAAACTAATACGCTATATAAAACAAAAATTCACGTTGTTAAAGGAAATTATTCATTTTACACTATTTGTTTGAGAACTGCTGCTTCGGCTGCAACAATGGCCATTAGTATGTTGTGTTTCACTGTAAATCATAATCACGACAACCAATTTATAATTTTATTATTTTGCCATACATGTTCATAAATTTTAAGAAAAATTAAGAAAAACGAATCAAACCTATTGGAAACCGTTCGCTGAAAGATATTAAACAGAAGATCTTTGAATTTTGATAAAAACTAAAGCAAAAGCAAATCAAACGATGACAGTGTCAAAACTATGAAGTGACTTTTCTCTTTCATTGTCATGGATACGATTTTTTAATCTGTTGCAACAATACAATTTTATCTGAACAAGGAAATAATTCCAGTGAAGCTCAAACCGTGTACCAATATTTTGGAGTTAAATAACATTCTTGATAATAACAATTGTGTGAGTTTTTTTTTCTCGGTTACAGTATTTTTGTGCTCTTCTATTACTAGGTCAAATTTCAACTCCAAGACTGTAAACACCCTGTATGTAAATGTAAAATAGTCTTCTCGAAAACAAGAAAATAAATAAAAATTTAATAGATGCCGTTATTTTATTTATTTTTTTCAATTCACGAATGTTTTCAGCAGTCTATGAAAAATCGAATTCAGATAATAAAAGTTGGTTTATAGCTGAAAAAAAAACACCAAAAGTTTTAATTTTGTATTCGTCAAAATTAAATTAAGCTAAAATATATACAAGCATATACCAGCACGTGCCGAAGAAATGTAAATCATGGTGGATCTCAAACAGATCGGGTATTTACAGAGTGAAATCTTTAACTATTTTTTTCATTTATATTAAAAAAATAATAGTGTTGAAAAGAAAGGAACTGTTCAGCGAGGTAGACTTTGATTTAATGCTGTTAAATGCTTTAACAGCAAGTTTCTACTATAAACCATTTGCAAGAAAACTTTTATCAAAAATTCTGACATATTAATTATTTTACCCTAACTGAGTAACTTTTTTTATAAAACCGATTCTACAGATTATTAAATTTTAGTTAAGTTGACACTGCGACCTATTCTCCAATGTTAATATTTACAAAAATATCTTTTAGCAAAAATTGGGTATTTTACTTTTACGTACATTTGTGAATCCACTGAATTTAAAATTTAAGAAATCAAATTTGTTGGCATACGAGTATACTGATCTTTCTCATAAAATAGCTACACTTATCAATTAGCCTTGCAGGGTCTCTAATCTGGCCTAACAGTATCCAGTTTTTTAAATTTACTTACCTACCAATTTCAGGACTTGTTTTCTTAATCGTGTTCGTAACACTAAAGCAATAAATATTAATTCATTTATTAAATAGGCTTACCCCGGAATGGCGCCCCAAGCTTACAATCCACAAAATTGGGGTATGCCCGCTTACCAACAACAGTGGAACGCCCCCTCGCAAAGTGCCGATGCCCCCACACAGCAAAACACCATGCAAGTTAACCCCTCAACGGGACAGCCCGACTACTCATTACAGTGGGCGGAATATTACAGATCGTTAGGAATGCATAGGGAAGCTGAAATGATAGAACAACAGGTGGGTAAAAAGATGTAGTGAGTATTTTTAAAGTGAAACATTTATTCTATCGCCTCAAAAAATTTTCGTCCATCTATCGCATGTCGCCGCATTACAGCCGGCCGCCAATGGCTCGCATCAGTTGACCATGTAGCATTTATATTCTTACTCATTCGTGCAAGTGCTCCGTGGTATTTGTGTGTTTTAATTGATGTATTGTTCCGAAAAAAAGCTTCACTTGCATCGTGGTTTCTTTAAACCATAGCAGTTTTTTTTATTTAATTAAATATTAAAACAGGCTAAATCGAAGGGAATGTCCACGGCACCAGGACAACCACAAGCAGGTGCGACGGCAGGTTCAGGTTCAGCACCCGCTGCGACACCTACAGCTGCTGCTTCCAATGGTGGCCAACCTGATTATAGTGCACAGTGGGCGGAGTATTATCGCAGTATAGGAAAACATAAAGAAGCTGAAGCGATAGAGGCACAAATGAAATCGAAGGTTTGTTAATTTTTTGTGTCTAAGAGAGTCGTAAATTTTAAGTGAATTATTTTTAATAGCAACAGTCCCAGGCCAACGTGCAGTCGATGCAAGGAGGCCCAGCTTCGTCACAATCCGGACCTGTCCAGGCGCCAGCAGGTAGTTACCAGCAGCAAGCGTACGGTGCATATCAAGCTTCTAGTGGTGCGTTATTATTATTTATATATTGTGTTATAATTGTAGCAATTTGAATAAGCCACCAGACTATTGTTATTAGAACGACTTTACGTTTTTATTAATGGTTTAAGGTTGAACAATTCTGGGAATATTACGTTTTGTAAACATGGGGAAGCACTGGTTTGATAGATTTATGATTAAACTAGCTTGTACCCGTGACTTCCTCCACGCAGATTTTAGATATAAACTTTTGTTGTTTTTCAAAGAAGAAATGTGAAGTTAGTCTCTTAATCTATTTTTTTTTCTTGATTCATTAACTCAAAACAACAGAAGCAGAAAGCCAATTCTTAAGAAAATGACGAATGCACGTTACCATCGCTTACACCCCATTTCACCTCGTTGAATTTTCAAGAAGTGCACTTCTACACCCTCGAAAATCAAAATTCTAAATTTCATGTATATATTTTCGTATAAATGTCAACACCTTATTTCATCCCGTTATAGGTTGGTTTTTGAGAAGTGCCTTAGTAGTGCACTTCTTCACTCTCTATCTATTTTCCAAATTTCATGTTTTATCTTCGTTTAAACGTGTACATCCTATTTCACCTCCTTAGAAACTGATTTTTAAAAATCTAATCTTAGTGCCCCTTTACAACCGCTAAAGAACATATCCTTCAAATTTTATGTTTCTTTCTTCGTTTAATTGTTGGCAACCCATTTCACCGTCTTATAAATATATTTTCAAAAAATCCTTTCTTGGTGGATTTCCACACTCTCTAAGGAATATGTTTCTTAAATTTTATATTTTTACCTTCGTTTAAATGTTTACACCCCATTTCACTCCCCTTAGAAATGAATTTAACAAAAACAATTTTTTAGCGGGCCTGTACACCCTCTAAGGAATCTGTTTCCTAAAGTTTATGTTTTTATCACCGTTTAAAGGTTTACACCCAATTTCACCCCCTAAAAAATTGGTTTTCAAAAAATTCTTTCTTAGTGGACATCTAAGGAACATATCTTTCTAAGTTCATGTTTTGATTTTCGTTTAAATCCAGTTTCACTCCCTTTTCTAAGGGAGTGAAAATAAGTTTTTACTCATTATTTTTGAGAAATCCCATCTTAGTGCTCCTTTACAACCGCTAATTTTTTCCAGTTTTTTTTTGTTTCCATCTACGTTTAAATATTTACACCCCATTTCACCCACGTAGAGATTAATTTTCGAAAAATCCTTTCTTAGCGCATCTGTATACCCTTTAAGGAACATATCTGAAAATTTTCATGTTTCTATTTTTGTTTAAACGTATACACTCGTTTCACGCCCTTTACTAAGGGAGTAAATAAGTTTTTAGTAATTATTTAAAAAAAAATCCCGTCTTAGTGCACTTTTACAACCGCTAAGTAACATATCTTCCAAATTTATTGTTTCTATCTTTGTTTAAACGTTTTCACCCCATTTTAAAAATCCTTTCTTAGCGGACCTCTACACCTTCTAAGGAACATATCTGCCAAATTTCATATTTCTAGCTTCAGTGGTTTAGGCAGTGCGTTGTCTGTTTGTCAGTCACGGAACTCTTTTATATATACAGGATGCGCCAAAACTCGCGCAAAAAAAAAAATTTCAAGTAAGGTAAGATACCAGGAACATGAAAAAAATGTTTAAAAAATTCTATTTGTCAAAAAAATTTTGACATATATTTTTTGACATTTGACATTTTTTTATATCTATTTAATGATACTGATGATCTTGTATATATTATTTTACGATTATTTAGTAAAGGGACAAAAATTTTGCCAATAAAAGCTACAAATAACATTGAACAGAGTTACAATATAGCTTCCTTGTTTCCTCTTTTAATAGCCTATAGCAAAAAAACTTGGAAAATTATTTTTCTAAGAGAAATAAATAGAGTCAAAATGTAAACTTTAAACCTTCATAACTTCGAAATTTTTATACATAAAATTTTTTTAACATTTTTTCCATGTTCCTGGTATCTTACCTTATATGGCATTTTTCTCTGGGGCGTGAGTTCTGGCGCACCCTGTATAGATAATTTGATGTGATAGACCAGTGTTGTTCAGCCTTTTTTTTTGTATAACTTTTCATGGTTATTATTTGTGTCGTAAAGGTTACTACGGTGGTCAGGCGCAAGGTGGAGTACCTGGCAACGTCCCTCAAGGAGGATACGGCTTCCCGGCATACGGATACGGAGCACCCGCCCCTGCAGCCCCTCCTAACAACTCCGAAAACTAAAGACTCTAACGTGTAAGTATCAATTATGCTTGTACATTACTCCGATGTGCTTTCATTACTTTATTTACTTTACTACTTTTGAAAACAATGTCGCATCTTGTTTCTATTTCGACATATGATTTGTCTTCTTATGTTTTGTTACATTGTACATGCGTATTTTATTTGTTTTGTGTTTGTATTACAGGAAAGTCAAATTTACTATTAAAACTCACTTGTTTTCATTGTAGTGTTTTTTCTATATATTATTTTGTTGTCTTGTTTTCTTCACACGAGTTTTAGAAAGTTGTCTTATTCTGAGTGTGAAGAGAACAGGCCATATTTCAGGTGGTGTGAGGCAGCGACATATCAGTTTTCTTATATCATTTACAGATTTTAAATGTGGTCCCCAATTACTAATGATGGTCAAGTAAGCATCTGCGGGAGACATTTTTCTTAGAACCTTTTTCATCTTAGTTATAAGCGACTAATTTTATCAGGAGTAAACGTGCCGCCGCCGTCTTAGAAACAATTCAACGGAAAAAATGCATATTTAGATTATAAAATTATTGTAGAATAAGGTCTTTCTTTTGTTCGGAAATCAATTTTTCTTCGATCATTTCTTTTTTGCCATTATGCAGTATTTGATAAGGATATTTTGAAAAATACATCATGTACACAACATTACGAACTTTTATTTAATTTGAAAGTGTTTTGGATTGTTTGCTTTTTGATGATGAAAACTATTATTAGTGACTTGTCTAGCTTCCAATCTATACCATAAAAATTTTGTAGTGAATAGGTTAATAATTACCTGTGTGTTAGCTTGTTATTTATAGGGAATGTCAGGATAAGTGAGGACGGCTTTCCCGGAGGTCGCTGCAACAGTTTTGGTAAGGCTATCGTTGTAAATGCCGATGTATGATTTGTATATGCTCACTGTTAAATGAAAAAAAAATCGATTATACAGCCTATGTTCGAAGGAGACGCACACTTCCATCAGTAGTGCAATAATCATTCCTTTCATCTAGTTAAGAGGACGCTTCCTTCGGTCATAGATCAGCAAAATTTGTTTATTTTTTAAGTTTCAATCGGTAAACAAATTTTGCCAAATTTCGTCCAGAACAAATAAAAATCTCAAAAAAATCTTTCATCATTTATTCAATTAATAAAGTGATGGTATTTCTTTTCCGAGAGATGTGTATTCACTTCGTTTTTAGTTTTGATAATATTGTAACCCACTATGTACTGCAGTTAGACTGCAATTGTATTAATTTACATTGATTAAACATAACCTATTACCACTTGTGTCTGTTGTTTTTGTTATATTTTCAGATCAACACACAAAAGGTATAGTATGCGATACACTAAAACCGATATATTTAATTCTGGTGGTCATTTTTCATATCGAATGTTTTATTCCCTCCGTCTTGTACAATTTATTCTAGGTGCGTTTATATTGAGAAATGGGGCCTTCCATCTTGTTACACCTGATATTTGATATATTATACCGAAATAAAACATCTTTTTGCAATCAGTGTGACATGAATAATTTGGGGATGTATGTTTTATTTCAGTAGATTTATTTTTGCGTGCACAGCATTTCGCCGTCTCCGTTCTATCATTTGACGAGATCGCTTATTCGGGTGTGTTTTGGCGTATTTCTGTTGATAAAATTGTTTTGCTTTTATAGGTAAGATGATTATTATTCTTGTCTCAATATTTGTGTGGACGCTAGATTTTATTGCTGTATATTTTACCGAAATTTTATGATTTGAACGAGTAATCTCACTTCTGATTACTTGTTTCAGGTCCAGACAACATCATCTTTTATTTAGCACTTGGGTTCTGCTTGCTTCTCTAGATTTATTCAGTATTTTGCATGTCTTGTGATTATTTTTTCAGATTCGCCGAACAGGTGCCTAGTACTTCGTGGTTTTATTTTTGATTTATCATAGAATCGCTTTTGGGACAGGACACATCAAGTGCCAGTGTCCTGTCTTACATGGTAAGAAACATTTACACAATAGTATGTTGTTGACTGTAGTGGGGTACTCGCAGCGAAATTTTCATTTTAGAGTAGTCTCTAGATTGCAAGTATCCCATGATTAGTGTTAAATGCAAATCGATCGATTTTATACTTGTATTTTAGATATTTTTACTTAGAAGCTTTTTTACTTTTGTACAGCTTTTTTATGTAGGAACACATCTAAAATAAATATTTTTTTACAATTTTTTTCATACTTGAACCTTTCATTTCATCCTAGCACATTACAAATAATTGAATTTCTTACTATGTAGCCTCTATTTATTTATTAAAGGCTTACAAATCAATAAAAAACGAATTATTTGTGGTTTTCATAATCATGAAGCGGATCTGTTGCTATGACATTCTCTTTATTTGATCAATTTTTGACATTAAAAGCACTTCAGTGAGAATGTCGCAGAGTCGTTCAAAAAACCCCTCAATGCCAACAAATCGGCCTAAGTATTACCTCAGTTTTTAATTTTTGTAGATACTTTGAAAGAAAATAGTTTTGTAGACCTCACATGCCCATCATTGACGAAAAAATGTGTATCAAAACAGTGAAGAAACCAAAAGAATACGTTACAGCTTACGATGTGCAAGGAATGAGGAAACTTATGGTGCCCGATAGAAATCCAATTGATATACCTGGAATTTTACCGAAATCAGAATTCGAAAGACTGAAAAATCAAGCACATGTAAGTAGTTGTGATTCTTTTTACTTTTATTTGAATTTTTTGTTAAACCAAGATTGTGACTTTGAAAGACAGAATGATGATGTTGGATGAAGCAGAACAAAAGAAAAACGCGCTGCAAAGAGAAAGTGAAAAAAGAAAAGAATTTTTGCAAAAAGTTCAAAAGAGGCAGAATGCTAAACCGGGAACCACTTTAAGCGACGTTGGTTGAAAAATAATGTAACTGAAAAATTACCCAATTGAAAAATTTTGCTTTAGGTTGAACGCGAAGCAAAATCACGAAATATGTATCTTTTGAAAAGGTCCTTTGATTTGATGCAAGAACAAGACAACAGAGTAAAAAGAGCTAACGGTGTGATCCTTGCAACTAAATGTCGAGCAATTAGAAACGCACAAATAGCTGAAAAAGAAGTAAGTCTTGGTAAAAGTTTAAAAATCAAAAACTTATCTTGAGCAGCTGATAGAAAAACAACTGCAAGAAGAAAACCGACGCTTGGATATGATGATGGAACAGCAACGTCAGAAAGCAATGGAAGAAGAAGAAAAGCGCAAACAGGAAGAAGAAAGAAAAAAACAAAATTATGTGACAGCGTTGTCTGACCAAATGCGAATGAACGAAATCGAGCGTATGATAGAAGCCGAACAAAAAGAGGAAGAAAGCAGAATGATCAATAAAGCATTTCTTGCAATCCAACAAGAAGAAGAACAGAAACTGAAAGAGAAGAAAGAATTGCAACAAAAAATACGAAATGATTTGAAGAAAGCAAACGATGATTTAGAACGCTACAAACTAATCCAAAAAGAGGAACAAAGAATAGCTGATTTAAGAATACAAAAGTTCATGCAAGAGAAACTCGAACGAGAGTTGGCACGGGATCAAGAATTAGCACTAGCTAAAGCCGCCAAAGAACAAGAAATTATAAGGATGAGAAGCCAGCAGCAAAGATCACAAGACATCAAGGCAGCGATGGACGAAATGAACGCTTTAAGAATACAAGAAGAGGTTGAACGAAAATGGAGAGAAAAGGAAATTGCTGCTGCCAAAGCCAAGAAGGAACAACAGGAGTTGCTGAAAATTGAAAGAGAGAAACAGATTGAAGATTTAAGGAGAGCAGCAGCCATTACTTTAGCAAGAGACGAAGAAGATTTTCATAGAGTAGCGAAAGTGCAACGAGAACAGTGGGAAAAAGAAATGGAATTGAACAAGGGGAAGAAGGAGAAAGCGGGACAACACCGTGCGGAATTACTTAAGCAAATTAATGAAAAAGAAAAAGAAAGAATTATGATCCAAAAGGAGAAGTTTGAGGAAGCTAATCTTCAACAGATTGAACAGAAGAGGAAGGATATGCATGTTAAGGAGCATTTGAGACAAAAGATTGAGGATTTGAGGTACATGTTTGTGGGTGATTGTAGAGTGTGTTTATTTATTATTATTGTGCACTTATTTGCGTTTTTTCTTATTTGCAGGAATAAACAATTACCGGAAAGGTACATTAAGGATATTGAACACCATATTGAAGGCATAATCAATACAGAATGAAATGTGTATTGTATTTGGCATAACAAATAATAAAGTATCAGTCAACATCATAAAAGTGTTTTATTTTATTGAACTAGACAGAACTAATTGCTAGTAGTGCGGTGAAATTAGTCATAAAAATAGTGGTCAAATAACGAAAACTCATTAGAAATAAAGTGTCAAAAGTCCCCATTGATCCCATGTGTGCTAAAATGTTATTCGGGTTCAAAGGTCAAAATTTGAGGTTTTTTAATTTTTTTTCGAAAACGGTAAGTTTTATCAAAAAAGTAGCCCAGACAAAAATGATAGATCTTAAAATTATCTTCAAAAATGGTCTTTATACTTTTTTCCTAAGAATCACCTTTTCTAAGATACCGATATTCTAAAAGTTGAAGGAGTAACGTTCTACATCATATGCACATACAAAGTGCGCCAGAACTCGCGCCCCAAAGACAAATGCCATGTAGGGTAAGGTACCAGGAACATAGAAAAAAATTAAAAAAATCTATCTATAAAAATTTCAGAATTATGAGAGTTTAGATTTTGCACTTTGACTCTTATTTATTTCTGTTGGAAAAATAATTTTCCAAGTTTTTTTGCTACAGGCTATTAGAAAGAAGATATATTCTAAATTGTAACTCTGTTTAATGTTATTTCTGGCTTTTATTGGCAAAATTTTTGTACCTTTACTAAATAATTATTAAAAAAAAACATATACAAGGTCATCAGTATTATTAAATAGACATAAAAAAATGTTAAATGTCAAAAAATTTTGACATAGAATTTTTTAAGCATTTTTTCAGTACTCTGGGGGACTACCCAATTACTCCCTTTCAAGGAAATGCGCGATTTTTTGAACATCCTGTACGTATTACCAAATAAATTCTTTTTAATTGTAATGAAATCGAGATTTTTATAAGTTTAATGAAGTAGAAGAAAAATTTCAAGCAAGATAAGATACCAGGAACACGGAAAAAATGTTTAAAAAATTTTATCTGTCAAAAAATTTTGACATTTAACATTTTTTATGTCTATTTAATGATACTGATGATTTTGTATGGTTTTTTTTTACAATTATTTAGTGAAGGTACAAAAATTTTGCCAAAATAACATTAAACAGAGTTACAGTTTAGGATACAGCTTCCTTGTTTCCGCTTCTAGTAACCTGTAGCAAAAAAAAACTTGGAAAATTATTTATCCTACAGAAATAAATAGAGGTAAAATCTAAAATTTAAACTCTCATAACTTCGAAATTTTTATAGATAGAATTTTTTTAAATTTTCTCCATGTTCCTGGTACCTTACCCTACATAGCATTTTTCTTTGGGGCTTGAGTTCTGGCGCACTCTGTATGTACATATCATGTAGAACGTGACTCCTTCAACTTTTAGAATCCCGATATCTCATGAAGAAAAAAAAGTATAAGGACCATTTTTGTAGATAATGTTAAGAACTGTAACTTTTGTCTGAGCTACTTTTTTGATAAAACTTACTGTTTTCGAAAAAAATCTAAAAAACGTCAAATTTTGACCTTTGACCCCGAATAACTTTTTTAGCACACATGGGATCTATGGGAACTTCTGACACTTTATTTCTAATGGTGTACCTACCCAAGGTCTCCACCAAAATTTAGCTCTGTCGGAATTTTCGTTATTTGACTACTTATAGGTAGTGTCTCATTTGTAAACATTAAAATAGAATAAAATTTTAATTATTGTATTCAGAAAAAAAAACGAATAATCTTATGCGTTATTAAATTAAATTCGTAGCTCTCATATGAATGAAAAGTACCTGCCCTAAAATCTAATTCGCAACATACATGCGAAATTCTAATCAGTTGTTTATAGCAGATATCAACTGACATAAAAACTTGGAAATTGTTGTGAACTTACATAATGTACCCTTAACCTTGTGACCTACAAATCTTAAAAACATATTTTATACCCAACTCTATTTATTATCACAACACAGCTGTAAAAGTTCGGTCTTTCACCAAAAATGAAGCTCCTCAAACTGTTTCTAGTTGTATTTTTGCAAATTTATGCCGAAGCGACGCCTTCTGTCTTAATTGTGGGCTCTGGACCTGCTGGTATAGCAGCAGCAACGAGACTCCTTGAACACAGTTATAAAAACATTCGAGTATTAGAAGCAGAAAACCGAATCGGTGGTCGAATTAACAGTGTTTTTTTTGGACAAGCTTTTGTCGATTTGGGGGCGGAATCGTGTCATGGGACCAAAGGTAACATCGTTTTCGACATGGTCAAACATTTGGACGTGTTAAAACACGTTGACGGTCCAAGAAATGTTTACCATTCCTCAAGGAAACAAGTAGATAAGGAATTTGGGGATGAACTGTTGAGAATTATCGAATCAATTTATGGCCCTGATGGCCAGAGAGATGAAGATGAGGGTACAAGTGTTGGTCATTATTGTTTGGACAAGTAAGTAGGATAATAGCTCGTCTAGTTTAATCCAGATATGAATCACACTCAGATACAACGCAACCATCTACGATAAATACCAGAAAAATCCGGAAAAACTGGAAATCGCAAAATCGTCAATTAATCTCTTCCATCATATTGTATTAAGCTATGAAGGCGCTTTTTCGTGGTTTGAGCCTTCGGCCAAGAGTGATTACAGGGACTGTGAGGGCGACCTCAGCTTAAACTGGAACGGTTTGGGCTACAAGACTGTATTGGAAGTCATGATGAAAAAATTCCCAAACCCTTCGGAACAACTGCCATTTGATGAAACAGTATTACTAAACAAAGAAGTAATTAAAGTATTTTGGAACGAGAGTTCTAGTCATGATTCTGTAACAGTTTATTGTTCAGATCATACAAGTTTTACAGCCGATCATATTATTTTCACCCCTTCTATTGGAGTGTTGAAAGAGCGTCATGAATCAATGTTTTCGCCTGAATTACCCGATGCAAAAAGGGGCGCCATAAAACACATCGGTTTTGGGGCCGTTATGAAAGTTGCGATGTATTTCAAACACCGATGGTGGGAAAACGAGAGGAATTTTACAGGTTTTCATTTCGTTTGGAGCCAAGATGACAAAAGTCGAGTTTTTAAAGAATTCCCAGAAGGTCCATTAAAGGTATAATAAAAAAATTATTTAACTAAAGTTGAAATTTTAACTGCTTCAGGATGGCCATTCTTGGCTCACTGAATTCTTTTGCGTCGTCCCAGTAGATCGAAACCCGAATGTTCTTGTTGGGTGGCTCACGGGTTCTATGGTTCCTGAAATCGAATTAATGACCAATGAGACGTTAATCAATGGTTTAGAATTTGTTCTGAATAAGTTTTTGGGACATAAATATAATATAACCGGCCCAGACTCGATAATTCGGTACGATTTTTTAAATATTCAACAAATAAATCAAAGTTATTCTATATTTTTAGTACTTATTGGCACACAAATCCGCATTTTAGAGGAAGTTACTCTTATCAAACTGTCGAATCTCGGAAAGATAAAATTACAGCTCAAATGGAATTAGCGAAACCAATTCTAAATTTGGAAGGACGTCCTATTTTACAGTTTGCGGGAGAGGCCTCGCATCCCTATTTTTACTCTACTGTGCATGGGGCTATCGAGACCGGCTTTAGAGAAGCTGATCGAATTATTAATTCATACAAATAAATAATTTATTGTGCTTTTGCTAATAAATAATGGTTAAATTCGAAGATTTCGTGTTTTATGGCCCACAAGTTGGTTTATTCACTTGAAATTGGTAAATAATTGTGATGTATGTTGTGGCGGCTCCCACGAACTAAAACAAATTTTTAAAATTTGACAATTTACGAAAAAAATTACAGTAAAAACGAAGCTGCCGTCTATTGTAAAAAACCCAAGTGCTGTAAATGAAGGCGCTCTATGTGTTAGTTGTAATGCAAAAATTTGTAACTGAAAATAAACACATTTAAAAATAATAAACACCAACAAAAGAAAATATTCAGTACTTTTTCTTCAAGAGTAGAATCTGAACGAATAATGAGTTTTATGACCCAGTCTAACGTAGCTCGAGCCTAAAAATTACAGTTAAATATTCATTACAATGTTGTAATAAAACTTACTTCATTTGAATTAAGATGTGCAAATGCAGCTTTTCTTGCAAGTTCGTAGACGCGTAGCAATGACCAAAAGAACCACCCAAGTGTAGAAATAGGTCGAATAGAAATCTGAAACAAGCAAATATAATACAAGAACAAAAGGAATTATCAACAAATGCAAAATATAAATCGACATTGCTTTTTTATCTTTTTAAAAGCATTTCTATATTTTTCAACTATTTAACAACAAAACCTCTATATTCTTCAGGTGATGTCTTAAAAAGGATCAGTACAATAGTGAATTGCATTAAATTGCAAACTAAGTAAGTGGGTAAGTACGTGATGTAGTTTCAGTTTTTCCCAATTTTTTTTTAATAAAAACGATTACTACGACTTGGTATTTTAATCAATTATTTACAAAAATTTGGGTTCGGTTTATAGAAGTCATTAAGTTAATTGCATTCAAATGTTAAATTAACTGATCACGTGATCAAGATGAACCAACCAGATGCTCATATGCACGCGTGAATCACGCATTAACTTTTAACCAAAAATTAATTTTTAATTTGCCTTCTACAAACCGACTCCTAGGGTAGATTTACAGAAAATGAATTAAATCAAAATTAAGTTAATCGCGATTAACTTTAAAATCCTGACATCTGGTTGGTTGTTCATCAAAATTCAACCAATCACGTAATAAATTAAATTTAGTTGCAATCAAATATTTAATTCGGCTTCTACAGGGTGTTTCACATAATTTTACGAGGCCTGCGCCTGTAAGATGAAATCAATAATACATATTCCGATACGAACTCGATTACAAATTTTGAAAAATTGGATAATTTTCTCTAGTTTGTTCACACTTGATAATTAATTCTGAAAAACTGCAGTTTATAACTATTAATGAAACAGTGATGATTAGTTTGACAACTACTGTCATGGGTTTCCAAAAATTAAATAATTAAATGTGTATTTTTTGTATCCACTGTTTTGTGACTTTTGTATATTTGGGTGCGTACGTTAGGCACAAGCCTCGTAAAATTGTGTGAAACACCTTGTATAAACCCATCATTAATCTTTTAAAATAATTTTTCTGGAGATGTTGATCAATATAAAGTTTTTTGTTTTTTTTGAATTGCTGGTGGGGGTGGTGTGAATCAAGAACACGACATGACCTCCGTCTGTTTTTGACATTTGACAGCTTCTGACATTTTGATACTAAAGTCAAAAAGAAAAGCTTCTCCCTGGCATTAGGATTTTTATAGGGCTTGAATTACGATTGTTACGATGATATAAAGGGTATAAATATTAGCCTCAAAACAGTTTTGCCATTAAAAATGACATTACAAACGACCTATGTGACGGTAAGACACACTTTTGACGTACGTCACTAGCTCTGCGTTACTTTAATCACATTTGTTAAAGTGAGATAAACAGCGTGACCGACCTTTTGGAAATAGGTGCGAGAGAGCAACAGGACTGTTTACAAATATTGAAAAGAGAAAGCTATCTGGTACATACGTCTTCTGAATCATTAATTGATCCACACGCGTATAATAAAAAAACGAACTTTAAGTCCTTTCTATTTCACTTATACGAAATAAGATGAATAAATGGCTTGTAAGATAATAAAGTTTTTTAAATAATTTTTAAAAATACAAGAGGATGTTACATCGTGACTAATTTTGGATAGTTTCAAATAATGACATCCCACATAAACGCCTACAGACAGCGTTATAGATAATTATAAAAATCTACTTTTTTGAATTATGTTTTAAATTCGCTGAAGGGAAACTTACGCTGTAATAACAGTAGCAAAATGCAAACACGATAGTATTAAACTGAATAAGACTTCCAATTATTATTATAAACCCAAAAATCTTATTAACGGTATCAGATATGTCGCAAAGCTTATCATGGCTTCGAATACAAATATCTATAATTTGTTCATCGGTTTTCGAACTGTTTATCAAACCTGCAATAACAAAATTACAGAAAATGAAAAATTTAGCAAATTCAAAACGCACCATCTATTGTAAGAATTTTTTCGCCATGATTTTTGTATTTGTTCAGAGTTCGACTATTTTCATATAATTTTCTAAGGATTGTGTTGATAAGCGCAAATCTGCGCCGAAGTATAATATTAGAGACAACAAATTGAGTCTCGCCTTGATGAATCAACATGAATGGAAGAATATGCATTAATATTACCACCATTGGAATAGGATCAATATTTTCTCGAGGTATATTCCAAATTTCTATTAAAACATTACATATCGTGAAAAATGGCCCGATAATAGTGAGAACTAAACAAATACGAAAATCCTGTTGGTGATTTATGTTTTGTCCCAGCTTTGTCCATATTTCATCAAACATTGCAATTGTGTTGCCAAATTTTTTGAATTTGTCTTTGTTGATATAACTCAAGATATGTATACCAAAAAAACCAAATGTTCCGGATATAGAGACAACCAGAATTAGTAATTTGGCAAAAGTATTAAAGTTATATAATTTTCCATTTGTAATGGGATTAGGAGTTTCATCCAAAGATGCATCGTACACCAGAATGAGAAAAATTACAAGATATAAAAGTATTATAAAGTTACAGTATTTGTTAGTTTTGAGAACTGTTTTCTTTCCTGCTTTCCCAAAATAAGTTGGGTGAGGACCAAGAATAAGCGAAACGTAAACTATGAGAAATAGAGTGTTGTAGACACTGCCTTTAGACATTTTAGACTGCAAAGATTACCCAAAAATATATTTACAAGGCTATGGTGTAATAACAGGTCTCTTGGGTGTCATCATATTCGATACAAATCAGTTAAAAATAAGCTAAATTGAGGCATTAGTTTTGATTATCTGATCAGTAAAAAAAGGGAATTAGGTAACTTGGGCTCCAGGGAATTATGAGATATTATTATCTCTAATTTAAATTGACAAAAATTAATAGAAAGAATCTGTACTTTGTGTCATGTTTTGTTTTAAATTGTTTCAACATTTTTAGTTGAAATAATACAAAAAAAGTTAATTTTTGCTCTATTGTTTGATATAAATTTAATTTTCTTTTGTTATACAGAAAAAGAAAATTGTTCAAGCATTTTTGTCAAAACAAAATGTTTTCAGTTTTAATAAGACTATTCCATAATTTTGCCGATCATCTAAGGATTACAACTTTATATGTTTTATTCACATTTTATCGATAAAAAATTTCATATAAGTTACCATTTAAAAACAATTGCAAAACTCAAAAACAGAGCACTTTTTTTATTTTATTTAAGTCTTATTTCATGGATATTACTTAACAATGACAAATTTTGATACAAATTTTCATTCCATGTTTAACTATACGTATTTATATACAAACTTTTATCCCTTATTTGACCCCCTTAGGGATAGAATTATCCAAAATCTTGAAACACGTGCTATTTTGTTTTTAACTGAACACCCAAATACCAATTTTCATAGATTTAACTTTAAAAAAAAACGGATATTTTACGAAGTTTTACCCTTGTTCAACCCCCTTGAGGGTGAAATTTCCAAAAATCCTGAAACACGTATTACTTGATTTTTAATCGAAAGCCTAAATACAATTTTTCAAGGATTTAACTTTATAAATGACATATTTTAATACAAATTGTCATCCCTGTTTAACCCCCTAGAGGGTGGAATTTTCAGAAATCCTTAAACACGTGTTTCTTCATTTTTAACCGAAAGCCCAAATTCCAATTTTCATAAATATAACTTCAAAAATGACGAATTTATAAATATTTATACAAATTTTCATCCCTTGTTTTGACCCCTTAGGGATAGAATTCTCCAAAATCTTGAAACACGTGCTATTTTGTTTTTAACTGAACACCCAAATACTAATTTTCATAGATTTAACTTAAAAAAAAACGGATATTTTACGAAGTTTTACCCTTGTTCAACCCCCTTGAGGGTGGAATTTCCAAAAATCCTGAAACACGTATTACTTGATTTTTAATAGAAAGCCTAAATACAAATTTTCAAGGATTTAACATTATAAATGACATATTTTAATACAAATTGTCATCCCTGTTTAACCCTCTAGAGGGTGGAATTTTCAGAAATCCTTAAACACGTGTTTCTTCATTTTTAACCGAAAGCCCAAATCCCAATTTTCATAAATATAACTTCAAAAATGATGAATTTATAAATATTTATACAAATTTTCATCCCTTGTTTGACCCCTTTGGGGATGAAATTTTCCGAAAACCTAAAGCACGTGTTTTTTTGTTTTTAACTGAGAGCCCAAATACCAATTTTCATGAATTTAACTTAAAAAAAATACAAATATTTTACAACCTCTTATCCTTGTTCAACCCCCTTGGGGGTGAAATTTCCAAAAATGGTAAAATACGTATTTTTTTATTTTTAACCGAAAGCCTAAATACCAATTTTCATGGCTATAGCTTTAAAACTTCGAATTCACCTCCCCATTTAACCCTCTTAGGGGTTGATTTTCCAAAAATCCTTTCTTATCTTACGATAGATGACAAAAAATGTTCAACTTTGTTTTAAGTAGTATTGTCATAACTTTAAAAATAATGGAGTTATGGCTTGGGGCGTTTTTCATAATACAGCCTGTATATATAGATTACAAAAAAATTGAAATAGAGGAAAAAAAATTATCTTTCATTTTACGTCAAAATTGCAAAGGAGAAATATTTTTCGCTTCACTTGAAACGAGCAAATCTGTAATTAAAACTTTTATTATTCTGATTTAGTGAAAAGAAAAGTTAATTTTTCTTTTGATTTTGGACATTATCTCTGCTATCACATTGGCGGTTTTATTTATTTGACAACTATACATATGTCACTTTGACAATTAATTTATTAATTAAATATTGGTTTTTATCTTAAAGCTGTTTCTTTGAGTTGCTATTTATCAAAATTATGTTTTTCCCGCACATTTTTTTTATTTAACTTGCAAAAACTCATTTGTCAAAGTGACATTATTGTCAAAAAAATAAAACCGCCAATGTGATAGGATTTAAAAAGCATAAATTTCAAGAGAAAAATGAACTTCTTTCTATTGAGTCTGAATCTGAATCTCTGAAACAAGAGAAACTCTCTTCTGTTTGTTTACATTATTTCCATTTTATGACTAAAGGAATCAGGCACCCCGTAGAGAAGGTCGGATGATTGACAGCTGCCACAGAATGCAGGTCTAAAAAAAGTATGCAACTTACAGTACACCAAATCTCAACAGTTCATTCGGTACCCTAGAGCCTTAGCTAGAAGTGATCAATCAAATTGTTCATAACTTTGCTTTTACTAAAAATGACACACTATATTTTTCTTTTTTTTGACATCCAAGTATTTCTATTGTTTTTATCTAATCATGCATTTTCTTTAATTTTAATATGTCTGTATATTTTTTTATTTCTGGGAAATGCGCTTCTATTTTTTAATAAACAATGTGACTAATGTCAACCATTTACTCATTCACACTTTTAAATCAACACCCAAAAGTAAACATTTATTTGATAGTTAGTCATTTACTTACATGTTTTAGCTATCATAATTTTTAGAATCGCTTACTAACAAAACTAGATTTATTACTTACATTATAGTAGCAGTAGCAAAAAGAAAAAACGATGGTGTTAAACTGAATAACACACCCAACTATAATCGGAAAACCATACAACTTATTAACAACAGCACACATGTCGCAAAGCTTATCGTGGCATCTCATACAAAAATCTACTATTTGCTCATCAATTTTCAAATTTCTTGTATCTAAAATATTAAAACAATAATTATTCAGAAACGTAAAAAAACAAACACCTTTAGCTACAACAAAATTTTTTTCGCTATTGCTTCTTAATCTTTTTTCGCATAATTTTTCAAGAATTTTATTAAGCACTTTGAACCTCGATTGCAGAATAATATTAGCGACAACAAATTGCGTTTCTCCTTGATGGACCATCAAAAAAGAAAGCATATGACATGCAAGTAAGGTATCCGGGAGGGGTTCGATATTTTCTCGTGGCATATTCCAAACTTCCATTGAAATATTACCGATTATTAAAAATGGTCCACTGATTGTCATAATCAAACAAAAGTAAAAATCTAGTTGATGATTAATAGTGTGCCCAAGCTTTCTTAGTGTTTCATCCAACACTGCAACATTGTTAACAAAATTTGTAAAGTGTTTTTTGTAAAAAAAACTAAACGCGAGCATTATAAATACAGCAGAAACTCCACTTAGAGCCACTACGTAAATTAATAATTTTGCAAATGTATTAAAACTGTATAATTGTCCATCGAAAAGTGGATTTTTTTCCAAGCTTGCAAAGTGTACCAGAACTGCGAAAAGAAATAGATACGAAATTATAACCACGCTGCAGTATTTATTAGTTTTTAGCATTCTCCATTTTCCGGTATTTTTAAAGTAACTTGGATTAAGTCCCAGTAAAAATGAGATTAAAATTAAGAAAGAAACGGTGTTATAAACACTCCCTTTGGACATTGCGACTGATAGACGTGACCAAAAAGAAACTATTAAATTACTTAAGCGCTCTCTCGGGGATCGTTAGATTTAATCAAATTCGATTAAAATCAAATTTTGTAGAGCACTGACCGATGAAAAACTTTACCCATGATACCTTTCACTGTTGAGTCATTTATCCAAATATGTTAGACAAATATTAATGAACTTGATGGCTCATACAAACAGATTTGGTAACGAATGTTTTTATCCTTGTGAAAAATGCTGTGGGAATTTTGATGCTATTAATCGTCCACTTTTTTTTCAGAACATCTGGTGGGACAGCTGCAAGCCGGGTAGAAGGGTGAGTGCAGCTGCCACTGATATTAAAATCAATATGAACATTTTTTTACGTAATAAAATTATAAGAACTCATAATGTATATAATTTAAAGAAGGATATTCAGATTTAGAAAGTCTGTGACTGTGAGTAGAGTCGTTAATTAAAATAGAACAGTGTCTTCTAGAAATTCCGTTATTGTTTTTATTACAATATCTGGAGTAGAACAGTAAGGTACACATACAGGCTGAATATAAAGTATGGAACCAAGCGGTTTTTTTTAATTATTTGCGTCCAGAAATAATTAATATAAATACTGTAAGAATAAGTACTTGTAAGTAAGAATAAAAGCATTAATTATAATAATTTTTGCTTTTGTGAAATTAAACATGACAGAATATGTGAGAATAGTTGACCTATACAATATTAAAATTTGAACCTTGATTATTGAAATAAGTAATAACTAGAATTATTTTTGAAAATGTCCGAAAATTCCACATTTTTTTGAAGTTTTCAAAGTATTTTTTAAATCCATCAATTTTACAAAAGAATTATGAAAAGAATGTTAATTGTTTAGTGTTCTTGTTTTTTAATGTATTTGGACAGAGATTTAGTTTAGAGTTTTTTTTTTCTTATAAGCTTTTGATTTTGATAAATTTTTCTATAGTGTGTTAGTGTGGACAAAAAAATAATTTTTGAAAAGCAGGCTTTTTTTATTAGGTATTTTTGAGCAGATTTTTAAAAATAATATTGAAATAATTTTATTTTAAAACTAATATGCTATTGATTTGATTTGTYAAAATATTCTATAACATTTTAAATACAGTTTTTTGGAATTATTTTTTTAGGACGATTTTTTCAAAAACTTGAAATAATTAACAAAATTTTGTAAT